TCAGCATTTTTCAATCATTACTCCCTTTGTTTCATTATAATGTCACTCTACAGTTGTGCACACGGATTAATGAAATAATTAATTTTACATATTTCTTATATAAAAACAGAATTACCTATACACCTAATTATATTTTAATCAATAAAAAAATTAAGTACATAATAAAATTAATAAATTTTATCTTGAAAACTGAAAATAAAACTTACTTTGTAACATAGAAAATTTTCTACAACAACATTTAATATAAAAACGGAGGGAATATATTTTACTTCCTAACTGGATGAAACTTTATGAAAAGTTTATCCAAAGAAGAAGCATTGAGATAAAACAACAGTGTTTGTCGGAGTCAGAAGATATTAGGAAAGTAAATGGAGTGTGAATTTCAAAGCTTTATAAGCTTTAATTTATAACATTTATACGTGTCGGTTTGCATGTACAAATGTATACATATATACACCATATCTATATTCTCTGAAATTTCTAGATAAACAACTGTATATATTAATTAAACTACAAATTTAGAATCTATAGCCAGAAATAAATCACATAACAAAAAAAATTAGAATATATAGCCAGAAAGTGAAATAAATCACCAATACTAGGATCATAATAAAATGGTTATGATTAAAAGAAGTGGTCGTAGTATGATTTTGTTATCGTTATATTACTGAACGACTACATATACGTGATTAATATATGCCTATTCAAGATATATGACTGATAAGAAGATCGAAGTAGAAATCAATGGCGTGCAAGAATGTATGATGGGCTCCAACTAGAACTCACTTATTGACAAAGAAAAATAAAGAGAGATCAGATAAATTTCGAACCAACAATGGCGAACAAAAAGGACAAAATATCCAACGTCATCCCTCTTTTTCAATTCACACGTGCTTCAATTTTCATTTCAAGATTTTCTTTTTGTAATTATCATGTTTTCTTATAAATAGGGTCTTTTTCTTCGCCAAATTTTCCAACAAAGTCATACATAAAGCAGCGTTGTATAACACACCAAAAAGATTTTGAGCTTTTACAAGTCTTGAACTAGTAATGGAATGGAAAGAGTGTTATTTAGATGTGATCTTGGTGCCACCAGGGCTAATGGTCTATGCTGCTTACCATGTTTACTTGTGGTACAAGTTACGTACACAGCCTCTCACCACCATCATCGGTACCAACGCTAGAGCTCGCCGTTTCTGGGTCGCTTCCATCATCAAGGTAATCTTCAACCTCTTAAACATACATACATCTACGTACATATAAACATATATATATATATATATACAAGGCTGGTTATTAGCACAACTAGGTAAAACATGCATTTAGACTTCCAAATTTTAAAGAGCTATTTTAGATAAATTGTTTCAAATTAATTTTTTTAAATAGAATTAACATAAAAATATTTATGGTCTAATAAATCTTATATCTGACTCTAACTATATATGTATTTTGAAAAAATTAGGACAACGAGAAGAAGAATATTTTAGCCGTTCAAACGCTAAGAAACTGCATAATGGGATCAACATTAATGGCCACAACATCAATCCTTCTCTGCGCTGGTCTAGCTGCGGTTATAAGCAGCACATACGCAGTTAAGAAGCCTCTAAACGACGCCGTTTACGGCGCTCACGGGGAGTTCATGGTGGCTCTCAAGTATGTCACAATTCTCACCATCTTCCTCTTCTCCTTCTTCTCTCACTCTCTCTCGATCCGGTTCATCAACCAAGTCAACATCCTTATCAACACTCCCTTTCCTCCAGAGGAGTTGGATGATGAGATGATGATAACGCCTGAGGAGTATGTTGGGGAGTTGCTAGAGAGAGGGTTTGTTTTGAATACTGTGGGGAATAGGTTGTTCTATGCGGCGTTGCCTTTGATGCTTTGGGTATTTGGACCGGTTCTTGTGTTCTTGTGTTCGGTCATGATGGTTCCTCTTCTTTATAACCTCGATTTTTTCTTCTTTGGTAAACAAAGAAGAAAAATCGATGGAAAAACTAGTTGTGGTAGGTCTGTGTAGAGCAACTAAATGTGGATTTTTTTTTCTTTAAGATCTTTTTCTTCAAATAAATTTCTAAGAACATGTACATTTATGAACCTGCACGGAAGTTCATAAAAGTATTATTTTATTATTATTTTTTTATTTTTTTCTTTTTGACTTTTTCTTTTTAAAATAAAAAAAAATTAGCGGACCAATCGTGGACCACCACGTGGTCTGAGGCCCACATAATAGTGTTGATATCAGTTCACGGCAGAAAGTTCATGTGAGCTGAATTCACAACTTTTCTATTATTTTAATATTTTTTTTTTGGAAAGTGTGTGATCCCCTCGTAAAGTTCATCAATATACTTACTCTAAGTACATTATGAGTAGTAATAGTATATTAATCATACTCATATAGTATTTGATTAGGGCTTTGTGATCGAGCGTTAGATGATGAAAGAGTATGATGTTACATCATCAGAACTTTTAAGAGATATATTATTGTGTTAGAATATGCTTGCTGTGTCACATTTGGTTTGTTGAGATTTGAGCGTTATAATTGGCATTTCCATGTGGGTAACTTTATAATGTATACGCGAATGATTATATATATCAAACAGGTGCGTTACTTTCTGTTATAAATTCACGTGAAATACGTCGAGCAAGAAATGTGAAGTGTACATTTTGATTCCGTGCATTAGTATCATTCTGGTTGAGTTGGTTGTTATGTGTCAGAACTAGTCGTCACGATAAATCTTCCCAGCCTATACGGTTGTCTTTCTCTGCATAGTATGAAACCATGATGATTAAAACTCTGATTGTGATGCTACTTTTCTTTTACACTAGACAGAATATCAGGGTTGTGGAAGTCCATGTTTGGGAGAAATTAAAATTGTTTGTTAGTGAAGTTTTTTTCTTAATTTTACTATTTAAGTTAGATCGATTCATTCAACAAAAAGCTGTTTCTTACTACATGTACAGTTTTAGCGATGGAAATTTATGTGGTTAAAACTTTATTGACGTGCCTAAGATTTTAAAGCCAGCCACATGTGGTAAATAAATACTTATCGGACCAACACTACTAGTCATTAACCACCTGTCTGGGGTGGACTAGTGGTTAAGCATAGCGGTCCGACATGTTCCGCTTTTTTTTTTTTTTGTCACGCAATCATGTTCCGCTCTAAGTTCGAGCATAGAAAGAATAGATTAAACATGTTTCAGTTAAAAAAACAAATGCTGGTTTCAGATCATAAGTGGAAGATGATTAAAGCCGAAAGTTGAACCTCTTGGAATAACAAAAGAAAATTAACTAGTAATGGCAACACATTCTTTGGCTAATTACCGGATGGTAAAATAACTATGATTTATCGATGCTGTCTAAACCCGCCAAACGATAATATCCTTCAACCATGAACCTAAGGTTTCAAAACCTGACAAGGGGACAGTTACTTCATATTAAGACACAGCAAAAAAAACATTTTTAATGTTGAACTATATTGAAATACAAACATAATAGTTGGCTGAAAGACGATAGCTTATATGTTGCCATAACACACAAGCTCCATGGCTAATAGCCACTAGAAACCGATAAAAAGTAATGTCGATTTAGCCACAAATACAAACAATAAACAATGACTATAGTTGGCTATTAGCATGCTAAATTTAGTCATATATTTGTGTCGCTTCTTCTGATTTTAGAAGCTTTTGTCTAGTGCTCCATGTTTCAACATAATTTTTTGATATACTACATGTTTCAACTTTTTTTTCCGGTTTGGTGAAATTCATTCCAAAGTGAAATACGAGTTTTAATACATAAATTGGCAGCAAAATAAAATAGTCCCAAACCAAAAACCCACAAGAAAGCGGTAACTAAAACTCACACCAGGTCAACTTACGAGAATAAAGCATGAGAACTAAACCGCAACAAAAACAAGATATACGATTAACTACTATTTATGTGCTTGAGCCAAATAACTCAACAAACTGAAGAAATAAACACAGGTTAATGATCGGGATTCATGGCTGCTGCCCATAGCCCGTCACACGATAACCACCACTTCTTATGCCTATACTATGATTTATCAGGGGCGGTTCTACGTTGAACAAGGTAGAGGCAGCTGCCATCATTAAAATCTACAATAACATATATTTGTACAAGAGAAATTAGGATTTCAGTAGAACAGTTGGTCTGATTCTTTACCTTGCCCCCATTAAAACCATGGATCAAATCTTCCTATAGCCCTTTTTACCCATTTTTATTGTTCTTAATTATTTTTCTACCCCCATTCAATAAATTTTGTAGATTTGCCACTGTGATTTATCGATGCTGCCTAAACCCACCAAACTATAATGTCCATCAACCATGAACCTAAGAGCATGTTTATTGTGGGTGCTTAGGGAGGATGATTAAGGGAATGAAATGCTTAGTTTTGAAGAGAGAGAGTGTTGAAAGTGCTTAATTAAGCACTTTCAACATTTTCTCCCTTCAAAACTAAGCACCCCACTTCTCTAAGCATCCCTTTAAGCACCCTCCCAATAAACATGCTCTAAGGCTTCATAACCTGACAAGGGGACAGTTACTTCATAACCTGACATGTTTCAACATATTTGTTATGTTTTTTTTGGGTATAACAATATGGACTGGTGAAAATGGTAGTCACATTTCTACAGATCAATAAAATTAAGCGGTTATTTGTGAAATAACTATAAAAAAAGAATAATTAGTTTTCTAGAGAGAAGTTAGAGAGAGATAGGAAGAAAGAAGAGGAGAGAGGATAGGATTTTGGTTAGTTAGTTAATTTTGGTTTTTTTCATAGTCAGTAGGTGTAATTTCCCTAAAATTAAATAAAGACCTAGCCTTTGGAGTCTCGCCACGTCATTAATCAATGTAATAAAAACACAAAAGTAGATCTAAAGATGCCACGTGTCGATCACGACATCCCCACGATGTCAAAACACACAAACCTTCTTCTTCTTCTTTCGTCTTTGTCCTCTTTCCATATATATATAACAGAGAGAGAGGGAAAGACGATCTCTTTTTGTTTTTGTTGAAATCTCCGTCTTTACTTTTTGGTTGATCGTCAGCGAGGTTCAGTGGTGAATCTTAGACATGGCACACGCAAAGCTCGTGGCTTTGTTACTTCTTGCCTTTGTTTTCACCACCACTGTCTTCTCCGACGACGAGCCGGAGATTGTTGACTCTAACGGCTCCTCTAAGATCCAGCTTAATCAGCTTAACGATAAGATCCGTGCACTAGGTTAGTTTAACGAGTGTTGCATTCTTCAGACTCTTCCCTCTATTCCAATTATTGCAAGTTTTGATTTTTATTACTTTAATTAGTATATTATGACATTGTAGAGTTATCCAATTATTGCAAGTTTTGATTTAAATTACTTGAATTAGTATGTTATCCTGATAGAGTTACTGTTTAAGGTCATTGATGTGTGTCTATGAGTTTGTGGCATTTGTGAAATTCAAATCTGATAGTAATGGATTCTTGTCCAGATTAATGGTTATACATTGTGTTGGAGAGAATATATAAATAATTTGGCCTCTCCAGTTACTGCTAATTGGTTTTATTGGAATCCCAAAAAAAAAAACATAACAGATAGCTTTGTTGAATTGGTGGATGCTAAGTTTTAATGTTTTCTTTTTTTTTGTTGGTTTAAAGAATCTCAAATCAATGAGAAAGCTCGTGAGGTTGAGGGCAAAGACGAGTTGGTAGCAGAGAAAGAGAAGCTGATTAAAGAAAAAGAAGACAAGATTGCTTCCTTGCAGACAGAAGTCTCATCACTACAAGTATGTATCTCTTTATATGGTTTATGTTTCATCTCCTTGTTGGCTTACTCTTGAGCTGTATGTTTTAACACATTTCCAAAAAATAGGGAACATCAGATTCTGCAAAACAGTTGGGAAAGGTTCAGGCACGAGTTGTTGAGTTAGAGAAGCAGGTTAGACTTTTTAAGTTTCGAGAAATCAATCTGATAATATAGCTAGAATATGCAAGTGGCGTTCTGATTTTTTGTGATGCTATTCAGGTGGAAGTACTCAGGAACTTCTTGGAGCAAAAAGACAAGGAGAAAGCTTCCACAGAAACTCGGACTAAGGAAGCTGAGAAAAAACTAAACGAACTAAACTCGAGCCTAGAGAAAGTATGTTTCTCTCCCTTGTTATACTTTCTCTTCAATCAGATCCATTTAGACCTTGCTGAATTGCGTAGGGAACGTGGTGAATGCTTGTTTACGTTCTTTATTTCAGCTCTAGCTAGACTTTGTTTGGGTGAGGTCAGATATCTTCATTCTCTAGCCGACTCATTTATGTTAATAGTGTTTCATGTCAGCTTCCGTTCTCAGCTATTAGCTATACTTGATCACTATAGGACAGGTCCTTGTATGTTTAATCTAAATCCAGTCTGGAGTTGTATGGAAATTCCGTAGCACAGATTCATATCAGATTATACCATCACTACTTGTTTTATTCCATGCTTCTGACTATACCTTGGACCCTGCTTGTATGGATATGATTGAGCTGGTTGTTTTAATAGTAATATCCTGAAGATGTTTAAACTTTAGTATGTGATGTGTTGCAGCTTCATAAGACAAATGAAGAGCAGATAAACAAAATAGGCAAACTCGAACGTGCTATAAAGATAGCTGAGGTATATAGTAACTCTCTTACCAGATTAAAAAAACTCCCTACGGTTTTGGTTTCTGTCTCACCTTCTGCTTTCCCAATAAATTAAATTTCAGGAAGAAATGTTGAGGACTAAGCATGAAGCAACCTCGAAGACTAAGGAACTCCTTGAGGTATTGGTTTGGCACAGTTAATAGTATTATACATTCATTTTTTTTTTGCAAAGCTTGGAACTTGGAAGCCAGAATTGAACATAAAGTTTGACGTCACTTATCTTTTGGTCAGGCTCATGGTTCGTGGCTTCCCCCTTGGCTTGCCGTTCACTGGATTACTTTTCAGGTAAGGTTTCCACTGTTTTTGTTTCCTGGTGATTTTTTTTCTTCAATTTACTTGACCATTTCATGTACTCATAGGCACATTGGGAGGCCAACGGGAAACCTGCTGTGGATACAGCAATTCTGAAGGTGCTTCTTTAGTTTTTGAGTTCTTTTGCGAGTTATTCTTTTAAACAGCAAAGTAGCATCTGACTAATGAAGTTTACTTATTATTTAACTAGGTGACGGAAGCAAAGACTCAAGCTGTGAAGTGGGCTGAACCACATGTGGTAAACGCTAAAACTGTAAGCATCTTATTGGCAATTTATTTTACATAATTTTCTCTGACATTAGTTGATTGACATTAGTTGATTTTCACCAGTATGTGGCTCTTATATTCTTATGCACTTCTTGCAGAAATATATTCCAGCCATCAAGGAAACGGTAGCTACACATGTTAAGCCACACGTCCGAACACTATCAATCAAAGCAAAAGAGGCTTACCATGCATCCAAGAGTGCTTTTACCCCTCACTTTGTAACGGTTCAAGAACTTGTAGACCCTTATTATCAGGTATAGTGTCTTTATCAACATTTTTTTTTTCAGTTTTTGTGTTTACTATTGTAAAACTTAGAGAGTGTTTTACCCTTTTCTAGGAAGCTAAAAAGTTTAGCAAACCATATGTTGATCAAGTGGCAACAGCCACGAAACCACATGTTGACAATATTAAGGTTGCCATGAAACCTTACACAACCAAGGTGATCATTGTGTATACAGAGTTCCTTGAAACCGCCACAACTTATCACAATCAGGTCTGGATCAAGTTATTTTCACTTCTTGAATGAATCGATGAGTATTCTTGATTTTGAAAGCTAAAATTCACATGTTATCTGCGAAGGTCCAAGCTCATGTTGAACAAAGACTAAAGAGCCATGAGCTCACTGAGGCTTTAGCTACCAATGAGTTTGTTTGGTTTGCGGTATTTCTCTTTCACTTTCTTCTAGAACGTATAAGCGGCCTGAGAGGAAGCCAAACAAGCATAGGTTTCCGGCTTTTTTTTATGTAAAATATCGTTCAAAATATTTTGTAAAATAGTAAGTAGCCGAATGATTAATGAAAGTCAAAGTAGAAATGTAGGTAATGGGTTCAATTTCTAACTATAGCAATAGGCCTTATTTTTTTAGTTGCTTCTGGTCTATAAATATTCAGGGCCGGCCGGCAACTGAATGTATTCTGATATTTTCATGCTTTTATCTGTCTCCTCTCTTAATAACTCAAAATCTTTTCACTGCAGGCTTCTGCGTTGTTGGCATTACCCATCTTCTTTGCATACAGAGTTCTCTCTTCCCTTTTCTGGTGAGTCTTCTAATTAACTCACTAATTTTTTTTAATATATAGTTGATCTCCAAATCATTTAAACATCTCATATTATTGTTTGTTACAGCACAAAGACAGAGAAATCTGTTACACACCCTCATCATCATGGTCGTCGCAAAACCAAAAGGAGTAATCACACTGACAAGTGAATTCATTGTTCCACGCTCTCAAAATAGTTTGAGTATTTGATGAAAGTGAATTAAAAATTCAGTGTTGTTAGATTAAACATTTGATTTGATAGATGTAATTTGGAATTTAATTAAAAAAATTATTGTTACTCAATATCCATTTGATTTTGTTTGATTTTAGTTGCATTGGATTTTACTGTACCTTTAATCTAAATCAAGAGTTAAACAAGTAGTGTGCTTTTCATATCTTTTTAAGGATTTCAAATATCTCTCTTTGGCACATGAAAGATCATCTTGGCTACAAAAGGGAAGAAGATAGAAAAAGAAAATATCTTTATCTAAAAAACATTCAAGGATTCTATTTGGGAAAATTGTCATTTAAATCACCAACTTTCAAATTTGGTTGAAAAAAAGCATGAACTTTCTCTTGGACCATTTAAAGCACCAACTTAGTTTGAATAGCCATTTTAAACCTCAATTTAGTTTGACTAAACCAAATTAAGCACGACGTTAATTCGGTTAACGGATTGATTAAACGGTGTTAATCTTCGTCTCTAATCTTCTGTTAAGTCCCCGTTAAGTCCAAACGACGTCGTTTTAAAAATTTTAAAAATATTGTATCCAAAGGGAATCAAACCCATGACCGAAAGGAAACTTGTTTTGGATTCAGAAACACTAGACCACTTGCACTTTTCTTAACGTAAATGAATACTAATAGATATTATTATGAAATCTCCAAATCATTTTCTCCCACCCTAAATCCCTAAATGATTTTATAAATATTAAAAATTATAAATAACTTAATAATTAAAAAATTGCGTGAATATTATTAAAAATATTAAAACTTATAATAATTATTAAGTTATTTATAAGTATTATTAAAAATATTAATAACAAAATATTTTAATCATTAAGTATTATTGAATATTCAAATTTTCGTTATTATACGTAATAATTAATTATTCAATAATACTCAATAATTAAGTATTTATTAATTATTGAATAAAATTATTTAATTATTAATTATTATTGAATAATTAATTATTAAGTATAATAACGAAAATTTAAATAATTAATAATAGTTAATGATTAAATTTTTTTGTTATTTAATATTTTAAATACTACTTATAAAGAACTTAATAATTATTATAAGTTTTAATATTTTTACTAAAATTAACTATTTTTTTAATTATTAAGTTATTTATAACTTTTAACATTTATAAAATCATTTAGGGATTTAGGGTGGGAAAAAATGATTTGGAGGTTTCATAATAATATATATTAGTAATCATTCAAGTTATGAGAAATGCAAGTGGTCTAGTGGTTCTGTTTACAAAAGGAGTTTCATTCGGTTGCTGGTTCGATTCCCATCGGATGCAATGTTTTTTAAAATTTTAAAACGACGTCGTTTAGACTTAACGGAAGATTAGAGGCAGAGATTAACACCGTTTAATCAATCCGTTAACTGAGTTAACGTCGTGTTTAATTTGGTTTAGTCAAATTAAATTGAGGTTTAGAATGGTTATTTAAACTAAGTTGGTGCTTTAAATGGTCCAAGGGAAAGTTCATGCTTTTTTTCAACCAAATTTGAAAGTTCGTGATTTAAATGACAATTTTCCCATTAATTTTTTCTCTATTCTAATCTAAAAAAGGTTCCAAATTTAATTTGCAAAACGCCAGCAAAAAGATATTCTGAAACATGGTAGTTTTTATAACAAGAAATTCAATGACAATTACTGATATACATTACAAAGAAATACTAAGTCTATACTTTGCCATTTAATTCATCAAAATCTATTAGAATGTACCCAAATTCAAATTACAAAACTTGAATTTTATTCCTTGCAATAAAAATATTCAATAATACTCCTATACATTATGACTGAACTGAACAATTTTTCTCCGGTTCATACTTACCATGATGAGTAAATTTATCTGTAGAATATCATGTCTATTAGAATTAATTATGAGTATTCTAAGTTTAACCTCACAATGAATTATGTAGTTGAATTGGTATAAAATTCATTATAAAATGTATATAGTGATGTGTTGGAAAAAAGTAAACAAAAACAGTAATAACATTAAGAATTGAAAGGAAGAAACCTACTCGATCTCACGAGATTTCAAAGCGATTAGACTTGCAAGTAGAAGAACATGAGGTTAGAGTACACGTTTGAGTTGATGCTGGTGTAGCGAGAGAGATAATCCTTAGTTCCTTGGTAATCATGGGCACTGAGGGAGGCAGTGAGTTGATTTGGGTTAATACATCCTGCAAATTAAATCAGCCGCAAAGAAAGAGGGAAATTAGGTTTAGATCATTGTTTGACCAATAGGAAACAAGATATGATATATCTTACATATAGAATAAATTGTGGTTTATTATTCATTAGAAACACTTAGGCTGCCAAAGATTTTCCCCAACCATGTTCATCCATAAACTCTCGGATAAGCACTATTATATCTTTAGTCTGAGCATTAAGATCCATCTCTGAAATATAAGATAAAAGAATAATGTTTTAAAAATTCAAAGCAAAAGACTCATACATACCTTCTGCTTTGCGAGAGAGAGGAGATTTTTGAGTGAGAGGGAGACTCCTTGAACCGAAGAGTTTTTTTTTTTAAAAAGAAAGAGATAATTAGCTATATAAAAAATGAATGTAATAATTAATATAATAATAATAAAGTGGTAAAATGGAAAGATTTTAATAAGTAAGTCTCTGTTAAAAATAGAAATCCAATTAGTTAATGTTGAAAAGTTGTATTCGACTGTGTAGTAATTAAAACATTTATTTTTTATGCAGACATGTTAAAAGGTTGTGTTTTTTCAACGATGAAACTATTGAAAATAGTTATGGAAAATAATTTGATGTCTTTTTCTCATAAAATACATTTAGAATCTCAATTAACGTGGAAGATTGTGTTTTTAATATGTAAGTATTACAAATAATTGTGAAAAATGTTTAGATATGTGCTTTCATGATATGAATGTATTTTTATATCCAAAACATGTGTTTTCCATTATTTATAATCTATTAGCGTATAAAGTCATGTTTTCCATTGTAAAAGGCATACTAGTTCTATTTTTAGAATGTTTTTTTAAATAATGATATGTCTCTTGTAAAGATGTTGTTTTAAAATAATTAGCTCTAATCTGAAAAATCGTGGCTATCATATATATATATATATATATATATATATATATATATATATATATATATATATATATATATCTTTGAAAAACTATAAATAATTCAACTAAAATATAAATTGGTTTAAAGATATTTAAAATATCTTAATAAATGTATTACTACAATTATTAGTTTAGAAGGTTGTATCTTCTCATTATAAAAGACAACATATATTAAAATTGTTAAAATGGCTCAATTAGTGTCTCTTTATAATTATGAGTCTTTTCATTATGCAATACAATGTCTTTTTGTAATGATGTGAAAAGTTGTGTTTTTCCATTTTAAATTTATTATAAGTTTTAAAAAAATGTATAGAGTACATTTATTTATAATGAAGTGTCTTTTCAACATAAAAATGCATTCTTAGAATGAAACGTTTTTCCTTCCAAAAAATTCAATAATATACAATAGGTTGTAAAAATGTGAAGATATATATTATCATCATAATATCTATCTATTCATGCTAAAAAAATGAAATGGTTTTAAAAAGATTGTAAAAAAGTGTAAAGATGTTTCTTATCATTCTAAGAATGTGTTTTCATTTTATTTTATAGGAATCTCAATAAATATGAAAGATTGTGTTTTTCATCTTAAATTTCTCATTAGCGTTTTAATTAAAAAGGTATAGGGTACATCTTTTATATTGATGTGTTTTTCATCATAAAATACAGTGGTCTATAATATGTTGTACAAATGTGTTAATATATATTTTAAATCTTAAGAATGGGTCTATAATATGTTGTATAAATGTGTTAATATATGTTTTAAATCTTAAGAATGTATATTTTCATGCTAAAAGTGAAATGATTTTTAAAATATTGTGAAGGCTTGTTAGGATTATGTGAAGGCTTTTCTAGAGCAATGTTGGATCTATTAGGTTCACTTCTCTTGTAAGTGCAGTCTCATTGTTTTGCAATTAATGATTAGCTTTTGGTTGATCTGTTTAGTTTGTGCGCGGTTAACTCGTATTTTGTAAATCTCTTTTTATTCATCTCATTGCTTGAGGCAAACAGATGCAGAAGCGTTTCCGTTTTGATTGGGCATGTTTTTCTAACATTCTTGGCATTGGTTAAACAATGTTTAAATTACACACTTAGAATTAGAACTGTGTAACAAGTTCAACAGAACAATGACCACACTCGTCTCTCTTCTTGGTAAAGAAAACTACATAATGAATGAATGAATGTTTTGAATCTCATCTACCATTATTGTCATCAAACTCCAACTTAAAACCAAGCAAAGCTAACAAAAAATACTAGCAAGAGAACAACTTCAAAGCTAAAACATGCCTTACAAGCAGAAGAGGTCTTCCCAGCCTTATCAGCAGCTTCAATCTTCTCATTATCAGCACTCGGAGTAGGCGCGGGAGAATCAACCTCAGGTGTCTCTATTTCAGGTGTAGCTTTTGGAACATTACTATCTGAGGCATTGTCTTCATCACCTGGTCCAGGAGCTGGAGCTGGAGCTAGAGCTGTAGGGGTTGCAACATTCATGGGAGATGGACTTGGAGCCATTGTAGCAACCATAGGAGATGGAGATGGAGCTGGAGATGGAGCCGGCGTTGGAGCTAAATGAACAGGTGGTGGTGGTGGTGGTAAAACTGCTAAGCTAAGTCCAGGAGCCACAATGGGCATGCTAATATGTATAATAGACAGATTAAAAGGGTTGTGATACAATGTTGTGACATACTCAGCGTTTAGAGGTGAGTCCTTTACTCCTGATCCAAAGCAAACTCTTCCTTTAGATTTGGTACAGTTGAGAAAACCATTCATCTCTTCACCCAAACCGGTTGTTTGGTACAAGGTGGTGAGCATCATGCTCTTCTCCTTCATGTCCTTAAACTTGAGCTCATCGTAGTAGTCAAGAATGACATGAGTCATGAGGATGTTCTTGAGCTCAATGGCGGATTTGTTAGTGATAGAGTTGATGGCGCTGTTGTTAACAGCGAGTATGGTTATGGTTTGGTATGTGCTTATGAGTGTAGTGAGCTTGGTTTGGGTGAAGAGGTCACTCATGGTGCTGAAGTTTGAGTATTTCTCAAACGCATGTGTGATGTTATCGGCTGTAACAAGGGGAGAGAGGACGAGTAAGAGTGTTAAGGAGAGGAGAGAAAAGGAGGCGTTGAGATTCATCTTGGTGTGTTATATAATGAAAAGCTAAACCTCAATGGCTTCACATGTTTGGTATTTATATGCAGAAGAAGTGAGGTAGTTGTAGAATGAGCTAGTCTTTTTGGTGAGCTAAGTCTACTCTCCTATTTTTAGTGTGTAATAAGACTTGGCCGCCGTTAGATACATTTTATTATTTTGAAGGCTAATTTGGTAGATTTTTAGGCTTTTTAACATGTGTTTATAGAAAAATGATTTAAAGAAGAGATTTGCTTTCATGCTTTTGTATCAATTACTAATTAATTATACTTAACAGAACCTGAAATTATATGTATTGAGATGCCATGCAATGCAAGGGATTACGTCAAATGCTATATATATTTCGTTTTTAAAATAATTAGTCAATGGATTACGTCAAAGAGGTTGGCACAGTTAAATCCACATGTATAATTAGGTAGTCAGGTATATTGTCATCATCCAAAAATATGGAATAGTTTATATTCTTAGTATTCTAACATTGAATAACGTTTTTATTTGTCGAACGTATGTTCTAAGTTAGATGGTCTTTTACATATATAAACACGAATAATAAAAAGTTTCTGCTTTGTACCAATTATTCTTCGAGTTGCAACTTGGAGATCATATTCTCTTTGTTAACCTACGAATACATGCAACATGTCATAATTGAGCGCGTCATCGTGCTACTAAAATTGTTAATATTCATTAGCGTATAATTTTCCAGTAAAAAATATATACTTTTCTAGTAATGATGAATGTAGTGAAAATGATGAATATATACCAGAAAGAATTTTCAAATATTTTTCCAGTAATGATTAGCGTCATTGAGCAAACAAATAATTGTCTTATTGACATAGAAAAAAAAACATCGGCTGATCTACCAAAGAGATAGGGGTCACTTGGTCCCGGTAAGATACTAAAAACAATTTATACAAATTCTTAAGAATCAATAGCTCAGTTAGTATATTTCTGGTAGTGAGACACATAAATCCAAGTTCAACTCACCAAGTAATCTTTTAGCAGTATTTATTTTATATATTTTAGTTTTTTCCTCTTATTCTTTAAGCATTTTGGGCATATTATTTTTCCTTTTTCTTTTGCTATAATGATAACAATATAATTTGATCATAACTATGTTTTCTATTTGTTTGTTTATGTAATATTATTACCCTTTCCATCAAAAATAACTGAAGTATTTTGATTTAGTTTCGTGGTAACTATAAATAGTATGATATGCAAGTACGAATAATAAAAAAAGAAACAATATCAAATAACGTTAAATCATGTTTTCATGATAAAATTAGCTCACAAATATAAATTTCATATTTAAGTTTAAGGATTAGTGATTAAGTTTAGATTTTTGTGTTTAAGGGGTGTGAGTGGAATTATGGCTTAGCAGTTAGGATATATATTTTTTTTAAAACTGTTATATTGGAAAACATTTACCTATTTTTATAAACTTTAAAAAGTGATATTTTGGGTATTTACCCAAGTATAATGGTTCTACATATATTTCATAAATATTAGTAGCTTTTTGAATCAATTCAACTGTAACTAATTTGAATGTACATGCATCGTAAAGTTCTAGCCTTACCCCGCGTCAGGGATTTGAATTTGGGATGATGTAGTTACCTTGTCAACCAGTTAAATGGTAATATTATAGAATTAGAAAAAAATGATGCTATATGAACCCAATAAAATGGCTACATGCCTACGCTAACTATTATTCTTAAATCATTAATAGAACAAAAAGGTACTCTAGGATGCCACGAAATATAATTCTAAAATTACCAATAAAAAGAAAATTAGATCATGATATAGAGCTATGTTACATGGAAATAGAAACGGATGCGCGAAATCGTATGGAAACGTAGAAGCGAATTTTTTTAAAAAAATTAGGAAGTGAAAATGTGTTGAAAGCGTATATCTAATTATATATATATAATTCTTAGCTATAACTTTTATGAAATCCTATTATTATTATATATATATAATATGATTTGATAAAAGTTATAGCTAAAAATTATATTATTATAATTAAAAAATAAAGAGTTTATTCATTTGTAATAATTTAAAATGATTTCATATTATAATTGTGAAAATAAAACAATTAAGTTTATAAAATGTTAAACCAAATATTTTTTTTAGTTTTTTTTTGGTCAAAAAAATAAATGTTTTAATTTTTTATAAATAATTGACACGATATTTTTGAATATATATGCTATCTCTACTAAAACCACAGTGTATAAAGATATTTAATAGTATCAGTTTTAGTATTTGCATATTTCTGTTCTTTTCATTTTAATATATTAAATTTTATATAAAAATATGATTTTATAATTTTAATTTGTTTATAACATTATGTTTTAATAACGGAAGTGTGATTCCAAAATAGATCATAAGCTTCCAATGTGTTTTTATTTAGGTTGTTTGAGAAACGTGTTGGAAGCGAGATTCCATAAGTTTCCATGAGATTCCGATTCCGTTTCCGGTTCTGAAGTGGAAAGCGGACATCCAATGAAGCTTCTGTGCAACCTAGATATAGAGTGATTCACTGGATTGGAATCAAATTCCATGAATAGTCTAATGATATATAATAAAAAAAATTAATACCAATACTAGTAATGGGATACAAAATTAGGCCGAGATATCATTTTCTTGACAGGATCATTCTAAGCTGTAAGTGGCCTACCAATCGCTCCTTCATTGGCTACTCGGGCATATCTTTCGCAATAAGAATACCACTAAAGCTATAGATCCTTCTATATGTACATATGTGTGTCTGTAACTGAATTCTATAAAATCTAATATATATATATATATATAGTATATATATACGTCGTGTGTGTAAATTACAGTTTTTTTCCAAAAAATTTACAGTTTCCGAAAGGAAAAAAAAACAGGCTAAAAGACTTGGATTAATTACAGTTAAATTAACTTTAGAGTATATATGTATATATATATGTGTGTGTGTGTACTTGTGTGAGATTACAGTTTAATTAACTTTTGTTAATTGATTTTGAAAAATCAGTTAACAAAACGTTCAAGATGGCTCGAGTGTTAGCCTAAGTTACAAAAAACATGGCTTGAATGTTCACAACAACTAAATCACTTTTAATGTCTAGGGATATATAGTAACTAAGCCCTACATTTAAAAGTGTGATGCATATATTATGGCTGCATCAAGATGGGGTAGATTATGTGCACGCACATGATTATGAAGAATGGGAATATAGTTGGAAGGTGTATGTGGGAAGACTCTAGAAACAACATATAGATAATCAAAGAGAAAAGTTTCAAAATTTTACTGATATAGTATCTTTTTTTTATATAAGTATATAGTATCTATTTTAGTTTTGTAGAATTAACCTTTGTGATGTAGACACAAAGAACAAAGCAAACGATAAACGGATAGAGGTAGTACATGCATAAGATGCATGAGAATAATCAATATCAGTATTCATTGAATACTGACTATGGTCAATGAACGTCGGATTTCGTTGGAATGGGTCATTGATATGAGATCCGTGAATCAATACCGGCAAGTACACTCAACTAGCTCGGTGTGGTCTAAGTTAGGCTGAGATGGGCTGTAGCCTTTTGATATAAAGGCACAAAAACTTTTTGCTAATGCGGTATTTTCATTATGTTCTAATTTGTAATCTCTAATAAAATATATAACTTCATGAGCAAAAGCTCATGTTATGATAAGCTGTATGTTTATACTTGCTATTCCATAGCTAGTTTTTATTTATTTTGAAACACTCATAGTTAGCTACTTTGTGAACTATTTTCTTATGACGATACAATTAGGTAAACCAGAAATTTTAGTTGTGAAATGTATCTCAAAATTTATGACGTTTTCAATAAAACTAGGGCATAAATTAATTACATCGCTAAATCATAAAATATAAATAAGAGCGATGGATATTCCTCCCGCAGAGAAAACTAGTTTAGAAATTAGAACTAGTTTAGGTACTATTATATCACTAGAATAGTTTGATCGAATATATAAATATTCTTTAGTAGTGATATTATAATGATGAAATATATTTCTACCTCATAATCGGTAGATTATACAAAAGTAAATCATCAGCAGCGTCTTCAGATATTGAAAATATTTTTACAAATTGCACGAGCAACGCCATGCGTGTGACCGTGTCGTATAATATTAATTGTATGGTTCTAAAACAGTAAGTAAAAAGAGGAACAAAAGGTTGTGTTGTATGTTGAGTGTTAAAGAAAATGAGGACTGAGGTGTGAGTAAGTGTGGCCTAGCATCGTCTCCCACGAGGGGCTTCGCTCTCACTTCTCTTAATATCTCTCGTTACTCTTTCAATTTCCTTTCTGTGTACTTTCTATCCATCTTTTCACAAATTTATAAACGAAAAATATAATATAATATAGCATTATTATGAGTATTGCAATATACTAGACCCCCTCTAGAAACAGAATATGATGATGTTGAAGCTAGTCCTTATCACAATGCATATGTGAGCCAGGACCCAAGGATCTATATAAAGTTAGAGAATATTAACTGAGGGAACAAATCTTTTGATGACTAAAGAATTACTCCTATTAAGCTCTATCTATACTAATCTATGACCAAATCACTTTCGATATTCCAACGTGAGACATAATAATATTGTTAACGATTGCGTAACATTAACACATGCACACACACTCTCTCTCTCTCTCATTTTGTGATCCACCGGTAAAAAATTACATAAGAAAATATATTATGTATATTGAACTACTTTCCATCTTCACTTCGATATGAAATAAATTTTTTTTTTTTTGATTAACTATGACATAAATTATAAATGTTAGTACAAGTAAATTTTAAACATATAAAAGAGGGGAGGGGGCAGGCATTGATCGAGGAATTCGGCCAGACATGAACCTGATATATTGTCTCGACCAAAAGGAGAGTATAAGGACCATTAAGTGTTGAAAATCCACGTGACACCACGCTAATTATGCTGATATGTTACATATCTACATAACAAACATAGAATTTGAGGGGCTTTACTTTACAAGGAAAAAAAAGAGAGGAATAATAGAAACTTAAATCATAAAATAAAATTTTAATGGCAACTTTTCAGTAATTAATTTTTTTTTTAAAAAACAGTAATTAAAAATTAACTTAACACATTGAAAATAATTATTTATTATGAAAGAGCATGGGATTGTTTTCACCTTTACGTATGATACACATATACAAATTTTAACTAAGACCATCCTCAAAAAATGAAGCATTTAATTATTTCTATGTCTCACATAATAATTAATATAAATTATCTTTGCATATATTACATAACACTGTTTTCCACAAATTGCAATTCTCCCTTTAAAGGTAGTCATTCGCTTTAATTTATCATTTGCCAAAATATAGACTTATATTGATCTTATAATTGTTAAGATATGTATATTGATCTTGAAACAATATGATGAAATTTGTAATTAGTGGAACAAAACAATGATGAATTTTCAATATATTCATATATGTCTTACCTGAAACATAAATTATAGGATGTCTTACCTGAAAGATACTTTAGGATTATTCAAAATTATGTCTTACCTATATATGGTATTCTTATTCATGAGATTATTCAAAAATAAGAATGTATTCAAAATATGAAACTAAGAGGAAATAATGTTTTCTACAAGTTAATAAAAAAAAAAATCAATTTCTACAAGATAACTAACTAAGCGTTTTTTTGTTTGTGTCCAAATAAAAAAAAAACTAACTAAGCAATTTAATTATCTACATCATGCAAATGTATATATATTAGCAACGTAATAATAAGTTGGAAAACCGATATATGTAATTTACCACACAAAAAAAAAGAAGAAAAAAAGTTGGAACCAATGTTACATCAAGCATGAGCTCATGCAAACTAGGAGAAGCTGTCTTGCCTTATTTGAATTCTATAAAATATATTATATTTTAATATTACGATATAGAATCTAAATTTTGTGAAATCCAAAGATTCTTCGACATAAAGAAAAGGAAAGAAATCAACTAACCACACAAACAAAGAAGAGATTCTCAAAAAAAAAAAAAAAAAAACTAATTCCTCATCAGGGTGTGTGGACCCTTATTTTCTAATATTCTAAATCTAACTAAATTTCTCATATTCTAACACACAAATTAAATCATTTGCATGTTTTTTTCTTTTTGAGAAAGGGTTATCGTTTACATTTTTTTTGATCCAAATCATTTGCAAATTTTCGGTTAAGTATAACTTTTTCAATTAATCTCCATAAGCAGATATGTCGTTTCTAATTACATCTTGTAAGTCGAGTAACAGAAATAGCTTTAAATATATGGAAATCGAGTTATTCATCTGTGTCCAAATATGATATATAAATTTGTGGAAGATTGATAGATAAGATTCGTCATTTCGAGAATTCTAGAATTCTATGCTTATTAACATATTAACATATAAATAGATGTTAATACATTTATGTATATTAGTATATAGTCATAAAATATTTCTCAGCATCTTAACATGACCCCACTAACATATCTATATATAACGCTCTTCACAGTTTCCTTTCTCCTCAGCAAAATCACAAGCTCACTGTGAAGCGAAATCATATTAAAAAATTCACGAAAAACTAAAAAAAAAAACTAGTTCGTAAACAATCATCATCATCACAATGTCTGGTGTGTGGGTGTTCAATAAGAACGGAGTGATGAGGCTGGTTGAGAATCCTTACAACCAATCCGCAGGAGATTCCTCAGAGTCTTCCTCCTCGGGTGGTAGCCAGCAGCAGAGGCTTAGAAGGAAGATCCTTGTCCATCTTCCGACCAACCAGGTTGTCTCTTCGTACGGATCACTTGAGAGTATCTTGAAGGGTCTTGGATGGGAGAGGTACTACAATGAAGACAACGCTGAACATCTCCTCCAGTTCCACAAGAGAACATCGATCGATCTCATCTCACTCCCCAAGGACTTCTCGAAGTTTAACTCTATTCATATGTATGATATCGTGGTCAAGAACCCTAACGTGTTCCATGTCCGAGACATGTAGTAGCCGATCATCAAAATTAAAACTGGGGATATATCTATACTCTCTCATATATCTATATATGTCATGTATATATTTTCAGGTTTGCTTTGTTTAATTTGCTGTTGGGGGGTTTGTTTTATTTTCATGTGTTTTTAATTTGTGCTGGTCGATTTGGGGTGGTCTCAAGCTAAACCCCATTTTAATAATTTGAATCATTTTGTGGTTTTGATGAACTTGTATCAAGATTTCTCAAAGATGAGATAGTTAAAGAAGATATCAAAGTTGATTGTTATATGATGCCACATGTTTGATTTACTCCATGATATGATGTGTGGAATATAAGTAAGCAAATCAACTAACTTATGAATATTTGTTTTGTCAACAAGAAACTAATATCCAATACTTATATAGCTTTTCTACTGCCGTTAAAGTAATGTTATGATAACTTCAATCAATTGAATAAATATAATCACCATAAACTCATGTTGAATATTTATCAGGGAACTTATAATAATTTGATGAAAGCGGTTAAAGTGGCATACAGATCTCTCTAATAATTTTAACTTATTTCGGTAACTAGGTTTCAAAACCATAACAAATATGATAAAAAAAAAACCGTAGATATATAATTTATATAGTAATGATAATTTCAAGTCATGGAGAAATCTAAAGAAGGAAAGTCAAAGATGTCCAGATAGAGAAGGTCCCCCAAAGGTTTTGGAAAGATAACGGATAAAATGATGGGCGCACGTGATCTCTCCTACTCTTCAACCAAACTATGACAGGTGTCGGTTTCTTATTGCTCGTTTCCCTACTTTGTCACATATTAGAATGATGGAGCACGTGACAGCCTTTTACTTGGAATCTGGGCACGTGTCGAATCCCCCTTGCCCATTTCCCCCACTTTGGCACTTCGTTATCGATGGCGAACAAAACTTTATTTCTTCTCCCAAATATTTATTTCTTTTTGTAAAGAAAAGACCCCCAAATAAATACACATTTCCTTTTCATCTCACACTATTATTAGAGCACTAGATTCAACCTATTGGAGTTCTTAAAATACATGTATATATATTTATGGAGTCCATCAATTATATTTTGAAGCATCCCAGCTAAAAGTTTTTAATAGAAGGTTTTAAAATCTTTTATAACGAAGTTTTCCACAAATTAGTAGACTCCATAACCACATATACATATATAATATATTTCAAAAATTCCGATAGATAGAATCTTTATTGGAGATGTTCTTATATTCGAGATTCTTTTATTTTTGAAATGTATTACATATTTATAGTTTGCTTGATTTTTATATAACAGTTAATTTTTGAAAATTTATTAATTAATATATAAAGGTTGATTGAAAAGATCTCTAGAAGGTATGTACAACTTATTTTTCTCATTCTAAAGCTCTTTAATTAATAATTCTTTAATTTTAAAATTAATTAATAGTCAAAAATAAAAATGAGATTTATTACCTCTAATAATAAGTTTTTAATAGTATTTTGGAAATTTTTAGGAAAAAAAAAATCACAACAAAAATAAGTAAAATTATATCTAAAACATTTATCACTTAATTTTATTTTTCTAAAACTTAACTACATCACCAACCAATGAAACTCATACTTTGTATGATTTTGGTATTACAATTTCCTGAACTATGGGCCTGAGTAAGATGATGGACCGCATGCCAAAGATTTTCCAGCATCAGGATTATCCAAAACCAAACTTCCAGTTTACATTATTTAATTTTCAGTTAATCGATTCTAATAAATGATTTTTTCCCGTGGCGGGAAAATTAAGTTTCCGATTGCGCCAAAATCGGAGAAGAACAGAAAAGGGGCAAAATCAAAAACCCTAACAACAAATCCAATTCCCCTAAGCTATGCAATCAAAGATCAACACTTTCTTCAAGCCCTCTTCTTCCTCTCCATCTCCGTCTCCCATCGTCTCCGCCTCAGCAACACCAGACGCAGACGATGGTTTAGCCCTCTGGGAGAAAAATCGAAACGTCATCGTCAACACCTACGAGCGTCGAACCACCACAATCGCTAGGTATCTCAATCATCTTCTGGGTTTTCTATTTTAGGTTTAAAGTTTTGATTTTTAACTTAGTTTTAATTAAGGAATTTTTAATTTTTAACTTAATTTTGGTATATGAAAGAATCGATTTTTGATTGGTGGGTACATGAATCATCATTTGGGTTTTCTAATTTAGGTTTAAAGTTTTGATTTTTAACTTAATTTTTTCGAAACTTGATTTGGTGGTTATTACAGAAGTGAAGTGGTTAAGGAATGTATTGGGGAGTTACCACTGAAGAAAGGATCCAAAAACAAGAAGAGGAGTTACACACAGTTTCATTTAGAGTTGGGGCAATCTGATTTTTTACTCAGGCATTGTGCAGAGTGTGGAGCTACGTATGCTCCTGGTGATGAGTTAGATGAGAAGAGTCACCAGAGCTTTCATAAGGAGTATATGTTTGGTATTCCTTTTAAGGTCAGGATTAGGCCTGTGATGTTATTTATCTGTTGAAGAGATATGATTGTTTGATTGAAGTTTTTGGGTTTTTTGAATTGTTATTCAGGGTTGGCAGAATGAGAGAGTGTTGTTTACATCTTCTTTGAGTAAGAACCGTATTGTTATGGTTGTGTTGGAGAATGATTCTCCTGCACATAGAAACAAGGTTCATTTTCTTTTCACAATTTGAATTGTGTAGTAATGGTTAGAGGATCTTTATTGGTTATTGTTTGAATTTGTAGGTGCAAGAGGTTGTGAAAATGATGGAGGTTGAGTTAGGTGAGGGTTGGATTCTTAACAAACATTGTAAGGTATGAGTCTTTACAAACAATTTTTATGGATAAATACTATAGCTTATACATCATTATTAGTACTTAGATGTCTACCAAGCTGAGCACATCTTCATTTATTAGCCAAAGGAGCAAGACATTGACTTATGATTCCATGTTTGTGACTAGCATTGAAATCAAAAATGCTAAAAGAAGAGTTTCTTTTGATATCTTTTGAATGGTTTATATACTTTCACAGCGGTTTCAAAGAGCTACCTTGTTCTGTGCAGGTTTATCTGTTTGTCTCATCTCAGAGGATCAGCGGATGTTTAGTTGCGGAGCCAATAAAGGAAGCATTTAAGATCAAAGCTCCGCCTGAGGATGAAAAACGGTTAAAGAAAGAGAGCTCTTCTTCGCCTTCAACTTCCATTCAGTTTGGAAACATTGTGTTGCAGAGACAAGTATCGAAAAAATGTCGAGAATCAGATGGAAAATTAGACAATGAAGCCATTGTATGTGAAGAGGAAGCTAAACCGGCTGTCTGTGGGATTAGAGCAATATGGGTCTCGCCTTCCAACAGAAGAAAAGGTTTAGCTACACGGTTACTTGATACGGCAAGGTAAAAGGACTCTTCTTAGCAGCCAACCAAACATCTGAAACCTTCTGATTTTGATGTGTGTGTAAACTCGCAGGGAAAGCTTCAGAAGTGGGTGCGTTTTGGAGAAGTCTCAGTTAGCGTTTTCAGAACCAAGCTGTTTGGGAAGAGCTTTTGGATCAAATTATTTTGAAACTTGTTCATTCTTAGTTTACAAAGCTCAGGTAGAAAGGCTCAATTAAAACATATATATTTGCATTTTTTTTTTTGGGTAAAAAAGATTTACAAAGAAGTCAAAGGATTAAAGGAATATATAACTAAAACTATATCTCTTGTTCATTTCCTTGAGCACTTTCAGCTTCACTGTGTCCTCTCTAGATGTCTTCAAGCTAAGGCTCTTGTACCTGAGAATTTACCATATGTGGGAATAGCTTTAGTTAAGAATAAGATTAACTTGATTGATTCTCTAGTTTTTAATAGGCTACACGGCTAATGGGTTAGCAGACAAACCTAAAAGATAGAGATTCAATTTGACCCCAAAAAAAGAAGAAGATAGAAATGCAATATATATATATATATATATATATATATATATATATATATATATATATATATATTTTTTTTTTTTTTTTTTTTGATAAAACAAAAATATATATATAGTATATTATATATTATAGTATATTATATTTTGTGGGTAACATAGTATATTATATTTTGATAAAACAAAAATATTTTTTATCATTCCAATTAAATATTAATTTTATTTGAAACTAAAATGTTAACTGCAAACATAAGAAATTTCTAATGCATCAAAATTTCATTTTAATTCTCTATATATCAAAATAATTTATTATATCTTCTGGATTTTGGATGCTAATTATTTTTGTTACATTTTCCAGAATTTCTAAAGTTACCAATCAAATTAAAACAGTTTATTTGAAACCTCTTCTATGAGTGACACATCAGTAGAATTTACTTAAATGACTTTTCATGTAATATACAGGAGGATTAGGTGCTTGTCTGTGAGTTTTCGGATACAAATAGTTCTTAAAATTAAATATAAAGTAATTTTGTTATGGTTTTGAGATTATAATATACTTGCAAATTTCAAAATTTAATGTAAATTTTATCGGTTGTATATATTCTAAATAAATATTTTTTATATATTGATTATTTTCATTATTTTATAACTTTAAAAATTATAAATAAGATTTTTGTAATATGTTATTAGATTTTATCAGCAACTAGTGTAAAATAATTAATATATGTTCCAAATGTAATTTCTGGATAACTACCATATACAATTTTGATTTCTTAATATCATTCAATTAATATTACATTATGTTTATACATCGAATAATATTTTGAAAATGATACATAGATAATAAAATTGCTAACCCCTAACTATAATTTTATTATTATCGATAAAATATGTAAGAGAAAGTTGTTAAATCTCTCTTTTCTTAAAATATTTATTCTCTAAATACACAACATAATTTATGACACAGATCCGCGTATTGATGACACAATTTCTTTGAATACATATTTGTGATAAACATTTATATTACGTAGATTTGTTTGATTATTGATTTAAGTTATTTCTTGATTGATCTTTTAAAATTGAATTAAGTAAATAAAAAATAAAAAATTACAAACCAATCAAATTAAAATAATTAAGTAGAACATCAGCAAGAGTCAATTAAGTGATTTTTCACTTAATAAATAGGCAGACATTTTTAAAACCGTTTATACAATTTTTTTTAACTATTATCATATGTATTTATATGTATATTATAAATTTCAATAATATAATCTATGATATTAATTGTTTCTATAAACAAATTCTATTAATTCATCTATATTTAAGTTTTTAATTGTTTTTTGGAAACATATATTAGATTAGGTAATTCTAGGATGCGTTTCTTTTAAAAATTTAATTGCCTAAGATTTCATATTCCAATGCTTGATTAAATACTAACAGCTAATTATCACATGCAGTTAAGCAGAAAAGACACAACATCCAACGCCTCTATTTAACGTGCATGAACCCTACCATAGTGTCACAAACAAAAAAGAAGAAAATCAGATCAAAACTAAATGATGAATGATGGATCGTCTTCTTCATCTAACACAAAAATGGACATGGATGTATTAGTAAATGAATCCTACTTGTCTGATTTATGCGATAACGATGATCTTAATCTCCAAGAAGCTCTCTTCTCTTCTTTGATCGGTTCAACGTCTGCTAAGCCCAATAACACATCTCAAATCCAGAGGAGTTTCACCACTTTTATCAAGAGGAGTTTCACCACTTTTTTCAAGCAGGAGCCAGTGGAACCATCTAGAAGGACGTTATGTATGATCTGTATGGACGAAAAGCCTTCTTCAGACATGTTCCGAGGATTAGTCACATGCACTCACGCATACTGCACTCAGTGCACCATCCATTACGTGGAGACCAAGATCAAAGAAAACTCTGCGAGGATCAAATGCCCTGACTTGGAGTGCACGCGTTTGATAGAGCCGTACATGTGTAGAGATCTGATCCCAAGGAACATGTTCGAGCGTTGGGAGAAAATCTTGTGCGAGTCGCTGATTTCTTCATGGGACAAGCTCTACTGTCCGTTCAAAGACTGTTCATCTGTGATGATTCTTGACGATGTTGGTGGTAGTGATGCTAATGTGACGCAGACCGAGTGCCCTTCTTGTCACAGAATGTTCTGCGCTAAGTGTAAGGTGGCGTGGCACGTGGGGATTGGTTGTGAGGAGTATGGGAATACGAAGAAGAAGAGTAGTGATGAAGAGGATGCGTTGTTGGTTCAGATGGCCAAGAATAAGTACTGGAAAAGGTGCCCTAGTTGCAAGTTTTACGTTGAGAAAGTGGTTGGATGTGTGCATATGACGTGCAGGTATAAGTGTTTTCATTAAAAATCTTTGTGTTATTGGAATGTTTGAAGTGATAATGTTTTTTTCATTTGTATTATTTTGCAGGTGTGGATCTGAGTTCTGTTATGATTGTGGTTCACTGTGGGGTGATCCTCACTCATGCCAATTTTTTAGATAGCCAATCGATGGATAATTCGTGTGTGTTTCTGTGTGTTATTTCCTTATCCAAATAATAATAATAATAATAATAATTCGTCTCATTTGCTAGGTTTACCAACGTTTAGAAACTAGAGCCTAAATATCAAAAGATCAATACTATTAAAAGGAAATGAGTTCTTAAAAATTTACATATGAAAGTTGTTTGGACTAATTTTTTTTCTTCATATTTTGGTATCTATACTATTATTTGCGAAGTGATTTTTCGCAATGGAGCTCATACGTTAAAAGTTGAAATGGTTAATATCGATTATATCCTTAATGAATAAAATATATAAATCAGCCAAAAATAAAAAAATGAATTTATATTTATTTGATTAGATAAATGATTTAAATTAATAATAATGATAAAAGTTATCCATAATCTAAATATATATTTAAAAATAAAATAAAAAGATAATTCATATATTTACTATGTTCTTATCAGAAAAATATATTTAATTCATATATAATCAACCACAAATTAGAAACAAATTTCACTGATTTGATGACTATTATTATCTAAAAATAGTTGATATTAATAAACCATAAACTAAAACTGAATTAATATATAAGTAACAATAAATTGATTATATTTAAATAAGTGAATTTGCTGATTTATCATATTCTCCATAATTTTATGTAATTATACTTATTTATCATGTTTTTATGATTTTGACTAATAATAAATTATTACCCTTAATTAATGACTAAATAAAATTATTATTATATAATTATGAACCGTATATTAATTAGATTTACCCTTAATGACAAAGCAAACATAAACTTAATGACTAATTGGATTTATTACTATATAATGACTAATTGGATTTATTACTATATAATGACTAATTAGATCTATTACTATATAATAATTAGAAACAAATCTTATTTGTCATGTTTCTTATGATTTGATGATTATCATTATCTAGACCAATGATTATAATAAATCTAATTATTCATTAAGGATAGTAAATCTAATTGTCATGTTTTTATGATTTTTACTACCCTTAATGACAAAGAAAACATAAACTTAATGACTAATTAGATTTATTACTATATAATGATTAATAGTTATTACTATTTGATCAAAAAAAGATTTATTACTATATAATAATTAAAAATTTCAATATGTAATTAAACATAAGTAAAAAACGAATTTCAGTGATTTTAGATTTATCTTTATATAAAACTATTTTATATTGGATTATAAAATCTTTATTAACCTTGAAATATAATTATATTTAGAGTAATATATCATTAATTATAAATTAAAAATAAATTTCATTTATATGATAATCATCCTTTTTTATATTATGTCTTTATCAACATGGAAAAATAATTATATTTAAAATAATTATATTTGTTAATATAATTAATTCTAAATTAAAAACAAATTTCATGAATTTGATAATTATCATTATCTAATTTTTTATACTGTGTTGTAAGTCTTTATTAACCTTGAAAAATAATTATATTTGGTAATATATATTTAATTATGAAAAAAATAATTCGAAAAGAATTTATGTATAGATAGTTTACATTACTAAAGATAATTTTATTATACTTTTTATTATGTCTAAAAATGATATTAATTTATTACTAAATATTTTTAATTTATGAGTATTTTCACATTTAATTTGTGTAATGACAATTATTTATATGATGATGAAAAATTTTATATGTACAAAAAATCTGTTTAGATTATTATTAAATATTTTGAGTGTATGAACAATAATTTATTATAATTTACTTAAATTGATTATATTTGTTTATAGATATTAGAAAATTATTAAGCCCGCAAGTGCGGACAAAACACCTAGTTTCCCTTTATTTTCTGTAACCATGCAATATTATTATTAATGGTCATATTAATAGCAACTAAATCAATATTATTTTCCCCATAATTATATTAATGTATATTACTAATAATTTAATACTTTGATATATTTATTTTTATTTTGTTAATAAAAATGACAACTATATGATGATTTCGATATGAACATTTTAATTCTTAATATAACTTTTTCAATATCAAAGATAACCTGTAACTCATGTTTATTTGTATATTATTAGTATTAATTAGACATTTAAATTTTTTTGGCATGCATCGGTTCTTTTCGAGTCCAACTAGATTCAAATCCAAATTCAAATAGCTGTAAAATACATGTAATTGATTTCTGTATACATATAACTTATACAACCTAAATCGATTCAGGAATTTAGGACTCCAAAAAGATTCGAAGTATCTGAAAGCCAAATTTTATCTGAAATCTGACTAAGAGCCACAAGCTTTGGTTATTGACGTCACCAACATTATCAAATGCCAAGTCGTTTAAGTTTCTCCCTTCAGCAGCAACAATCTAAACACGAGAAAGAAAGAAAAATATTGGTTTACCAAAGAGTTGTCTAAGTAAAAGATAAAATTGTTGTCAATTCCGTTAGGAAAAATGTTGTCATGGTTTGATCTGACATTTATGGTGAATCATTGTTAACTTCACACAATTAAGGTTACTAAACACATATAAAAATGTTAAAGTACGTAGAGTTTCATATTCTAAAATCAACCATTGATATATTAATCAAAGCAACTTGAATCTGTTTGTAGTAAATACTATATCTCTTTCAAATCCAATAAATTTATGTTTTGAGTTTCTGTTCATCTCTCATAATTCATGTGTTAGATCTCATTTTGTGGATATAAAGAAAACTAAATTACAGTGAAGAAAAATTTTCTCCCAAGACAACAACTTTGAATGAAATGGAATATCAGAAGTTGATTTTTTTTAATCTTTTCTTCCTAAGACAACAACTCAAAAAGTTAGATCATAAGAATTTTGAGAATCACAATTAAAGTTCTAAGTGTTCCTAATACATTTTATACAAATGGTAACAGTTTGGATTTCTAAATAGCTTTGCTTTTGGATCATGTTTTAGTTGGATTCTCTTTTATTTATTTGTGCTCCTGTTAATGCAGCTGTCCCAAGCAACTATGGATCTTTTGTATCCCAAAAGATGTGTGTTGAAACATCAAAACAAGCTGATGAAGTAGGCGTAACACGTCATACCTCTAACCGTTTCCCATCTTCATCACCAGTGGCTATGGAAGGTGAAACAAAACCGAGCCTATAGCTGAAACACCTGATGATAACACAGTAGAGAACGGCTCAGATGGTGGGATTGATAACGAAAACAACAACTCAAGCGCTTCAAGCACGCATGAAGAAGAGTGGCTCCTAGGAGAACAGTCTCTACCGAACTCAAACTCTGCAAGTAGCAGCCCTGGTACTAGCAAGGTCTTCTTTCTTTTAGGGTACTAGGAGGATTTGTCTTGTAGAGTTACTAGTGTCAGTCAAACTGTGTCTCTGTTTGTTTATTTATTTTTTGAATGTTTATGTAAGATTGAAACTCAGTTTCCATAAATTTAAAACCTTTTTACTTGACCAAAAAGCTAACAATCATCTTCAATCTTCTAAACTGTCACTTTTGTTGAATATATTAACTTTTTTTGTAACAGAAATTCTGACATATAGTAGAACCTTAATTTCAATAGTAGATGAGAGATTACTCTCAGATCAGAAAGACTGCATGATGAAACAATCTGGAGTGACGACCAGTTTCTTATGTTAACTTGGTTTAATCCAAAGTACAAAAAAAGCAGTACGAGCAAAAACTCAATAAGCAAAACTTTATCAAGACAGAGAGAGAAAGAACAGAACACAAGGCCAAAAAAAAAAACACAGAAGAGAGAAAGCTTCGGACATTCAAATAAATCTAAACGCAGCACGGACAAAGCCCACGAAGAATTTAATCGAAAAGCAAAAGCAGAGTACAAAGGATCATTCGGTTTGGTCGGAAGAAAGTTACTTCTTTTGTTCGGTTTTTTTTTGTCACTTGTCTGAATTCTCTGGTCAAATCTTAGCCAAAAAAAGGTTTTCTTGTTTTTTTTTTTTTCTGCTTACAAGCTTGGGTCCCGCTTCTCATTGCCCGCTTCATCCATCTCCAATTCGAATTTGCATCCCAATTCAAATCCGCTGCTCTGTTACTCAACCTCCACTGATCTCGATTTGCTCCAGCCTCAGATTCCCGGTAAATTCTCAAAGTTGTAAACTTTCCAAGTGGGTTTGAAAGATAAATGCTCTGGATTGCTCTGTTCTGATGCAGTTTCGTGTTCTCGTGAAGTTGGTTTTGTCCTTGTGAGGGATTGATTTGGTAACTTTTGAGCTAGGGTTTTTGTTAGGAGATAAGCTGGATAAGTAGATTTTGGTTTTGTGGGAGAGACCCTGTACTAAAAGGTTCTTGAAATGCTTCTGGATTTGAGTTTGAGAAATTGTAATAAGTTCATGAGTTGGTGTGAAGGATAGCTAGAAGCTTAGAGAGGGGTGCAATTTAGCAGCACTCCTCTTGACTGTTTTTGGGAGTTTTGAAGAAAGAAGCAGAAAGAGAAGTATGCAAGGTCATGAAGATCTCAGGATTGATCTACCTGAGCTGAAACTACACATTGTGAAGAAGATTGGGGGTGAAAGATCTAGAAGGTATTTTTATTACTTGGGTAGGTTTCTAAATCAGAAGGTTAGTAAGAGTGAGTTTGATAAGTTATGTCACCGTCTTTTGGGGAAGGAGAATCTTTCTTTGCACAACAAGTTGATTCACTCCATCTTGAGAAATGCATCTCTTGCTCAATCCTCACCAGCTGGTCACAAATCTTTGGTGCTTGGGAAAGAAGATGGACCTGAAGGAAGTGGGTCTTTAATACCTAATCATAATAGGAATGGTCATGTCTGGTCAAATGGGGTGTTACCTAAGGTGGCAGTAAGAGACAGGCCTAGTCCACTTGGGGCAAACGGAAAGGTTGAGAGTCTGTTGTTGCATCAGTCACATTGTAGAGATGACAAAAACGGTAATAGAAACATGGAGAATGGGGGCTTTGGTCCCTTTGATTATCATAGACCAGGTAAGGTTGCAGCTGCAGTTAGCAGAGATGAGTCAGCTCCTGTAGTTGCACCTCTAGGGATTCAATTTTGCGGAGCTAGTGTCGGTCGGGCCCGCAGAACAGTTCAAGGTTTGAACAGAGCTGACTTCATTAGTTGCTATGACAGTGGTGGATTGTCAGACGCAGAGATGTTGAGAAAGAGGATGGAGAGTATTGCAGTAGCTCATGGTCTTGGAGGAGTTTCACAGGAGTGTTCTAGTGTGTTAAATAACATGTTGGACGTGTACTTGAAGAAACTGATTAAGTCATGCGTTGATTTGTCTGGAGCTCGGTCCAGGAATGGAAGTAATAGTTTGCAGATACACACTAGCAACCAAACATATGAGACAATGCAAGAACAACGTCCTGTGTCTTTGCTTGATTTTAGAGTTGCAATGGAGCTAAATCCATCTCAACTTGGGGAAGACTGGCCACTGCTTAGGGAGAGACTTTTGATGCGTTCGTTTGAGGAACGAGAAGGAGTGTGAAGGAACATGTTTGAGATGTTTAATATTGCAAATTGCTGAGTAAGCTGCTCTGGCTCAAAAAAATGACCACTGGTTTTCGTTTCAAAACGATTCTGAAGCGCTGCATCTCATGATGAACATGACCACTGAGAGACACATCTATGCTCTGCAGCTAGAGACTCGGGGCAGGTTCGTGGTAACTTGGCTATCCTAGCGAGTTACAAGCTCTGTGTAACACGCAGGCCGGTAAGGGAATGAAGAGAAAGTTGTAAGCGGGAGCAAGGTACAAACAAACAATCATGTAATAGCTGCTGTACTGCTTTGTATGTAACATATAGTCTTAGAATTGTTCAGATTCATTTCTTGAAAACACATTGACATCACATTTTTACATTTGCTGAGACTAAGAATGTAAGATGGAAATCTTTGTTCTTCAAATAACATCTTTGGTATGAAATGAAGCTTTCCATCAAATTGTCTGAGACTAAAGAATGTAAGAGTTCTTCAAATGACATCTTTCCCGCCTTCCCTGCTTTACATTACCGAGTAAGCATGAATAGGCGAAAAAGCAGAAGAAAAAACACAGGAGAGAGTTGTGTCATTAGACAAAAGAGATGGAGAGAATACATAAAGCCAGTGTGAATTTGTATGTACACAAAGGAAATGCTGGGTTCCATTGTTGTTCACAAGCTTTGGCTGAAATAAATACTATGACACACGAGGAGGGACAAGAAGGAGAAGACGGTTACTTAGAGGAGGTGTCTGCATTGGTCTTGCACATTGGGCACCAACTCTTCATCCGTAACCACTCTTGCACACACTTCAAATGGTATCCGTGTTCACAGTGTAGCCTTCCAACTTCATCACCTGTTGAATACTCTTCCTGAAAACCAAAAAAAGATCAGACAATGAAGAAATCATCCATATCAGTTCTATATTCACTGTCATGATCACCATCAATGAAACAGACCTGGCAGATGCTGCATTTGGCATCTTCCTTGTGATCACTTGAAGATTTTATCTGATAGATGCTTGTTTTCAAGCTCTTTGATATTGCTTCTTCTGTGAGAGCAGTGCTTACTGTACCAATTCTCTCTTCTAAAGCTAATAGTTCCTGTATTCATTCAAAAGAAAAAAGACAAAAAGTAAAGATACCACGTCTCAGAACGTAAGCTTGGTTTGAAGATGTAAAAGACAAACCTCATAGGACATGTTATCAATGTCTAGTCTCATGTCACGGTGTTGGTCATAGAAGCTTAGTCCACCTAGAAGTAAACCTGTCTCCATGATAAGCAGTTCCTGTTAAAGAAGATGAAAAGATATGAGTAAACAACACACATGACAATATCTAAAACTCAAAAAAACATGTAAGTTTTAACCTCGTAGTTAAGCTCAATATCTTGTTCAATCCTATCAAGTTCTGGCAAAATCTGCACAAAAAAAAACATCATGTTAAGGGCATTGCAGTAAGCTCTATTTGAGTAACAAGTAATAGTTATACCTCAGAGATCCCATCTAAATTGTAATTGCGAAAACTGTCTTGACTAGATAAAGAACCAAAGTCTGGAAAACCAGAGAAGAGCTCCAAAGAGACAGGAGAATTGAGATTGTTTGATGTTTCACTCTGAGACATCTCTCTTGTTGTAATAGAGGATAAACCATTTCCACCACTCCCTCGGTTTGTGAATCTAATCCGGCTATCACCACCTCTATCTACTGATCTCTGACTCCCAGCTGAGGCAGAACCTCCTCTAGGGTTAAAGCCAAGACGTCTCTCTTCAGAAGGTAGTTCTGATACTATCTTTTTACCTCTAGCTGAGGAGGAGCTAGAGCTGCTTTCTCCATAAACTCTTCTCTTATTGATTGTATCTACCTTCCCACTAAGTCTTTTCTCCAATCCAAAACCACTTGGGATAACACCTGATAACAACGGGCTGCATCCACGGTTTGTTGAACCAGGACGAAACTCCTGCTTCCCCAAACCAAACCTTTCCCTAAAACCTTTCTTGGTTCTTGAGCTTGATGGCAAGTCTGTGGATTTCACTGCTTTTCTTGGTTCTTCCAAGATCTCTGTCTCTCTCTCATCCTCACTACCTTTGCTGCTCTCTGATGAATCCATTGGTTGCTTCTCTTTAACAGAAGAGGAGGAGGTAGAGCCAGGAATCTTAGAGGAAGTTCCAGTGACTTCCTTCCCATAGCGGCTTGAAGACCAAACTGCTTTCTCTTTCTTGTATGAAGAGCCAACAAACCTTGTGAACTTCATGGATTTTTTCTCATCACTGCAAATATTGTTGTTGAATCTGTCTCTTAAAACAACACCAGCTCCCTTCTTGGAGTCAGGGCGTGGCTCTATGGCTCTTTTACCTGACCACCGCTCCATGAACTATTTTGAGTGGATGCAATACCTGTAACAATTGTACCAATTGATCTTAGTTTATCACAAAACGTTTATCTCGCATAAAAGGAGATAAAAACAAGCAAAAGATCAATACATGATGTTCAGATTCATAACCTTTAAAAGTATAACTTGCTAAAACCTGAAGTTCAATAATTTTCCGACCGGACATAAAAGTATCATTAGAAGAAAACAATAGTCCAACTACTTCTCTTGTAGTAGGGTTGAAAAAATTGATTTAAGCGCTAACCAATACCCTCTAAAACACCTAACGCATAATCATTGTCAACAATAAAAATGAAACCTTTCATTAGATGTCTCTTTTCACATGTCAATAATATAGAATCATCATCTTGACAAAAACTAAATTTTTTTTTGGTCAAGACAAGAAACTAAGTATGAACAGAAACTAAACAATCAACAAATCTAAGCTAAAATCAGTCCTTTTAAAGACTTTTCTCTGTTAATATCTTCCATGTTTTGTGTTTTCACAAAACAGAAAAAAATGAACATGACATGAACTAAATAATCAAAATTGCTTGAACCTAAAAAGAAACAAATCTTAGCTAATTTCATTTATTTAAAAAGACTTCCTCTGCTAATATCTTCCATGTTTGGTATTCTCACAAGTAATACACAACAGAGATTTGTTTTAAATATATTTTACCTGGTCCAGACAAGAGATTCAAGAACAAAAACATGATTCATTTTCAATACATCAGAAGAAGAAGAAACACATAAGTCAATTTGACCAAAAACATATTAAAAATGGTTTTGATTATTCAGAGAAGCTACCTTGTTGGAATGATTACCTTTCGATTTCTTAAGCTTCCTATCTTCTTTCTGAAAACTGGAAAAATGAGATTAATAAAAATATAGATAGAGGAGCCTTTGTTTGTTCTTGTTAGCGATATTTTTTCTTCAGTTTTCAAGTAATTTTATCTTTCTTTTTTTTATTTGGAAATCAAATATTATTTCTTTATTCCATTATGACCTGAAAGCAACTATTCATTATTTATTATTAATAAGAAAAAGAATCTGAAATGACGGAGACGTAGAGAGATCCTCACCGTTTATAATGGGACCGGAATATCTGACGGTTGGTAGAGATTAAGACGTCTCTAGGTAGTGGTAGAGAACTCAAACAAAAGTATATTTGACCAAAGAATATTATTTAGAAAAAAAAATAATAATAAAGCAAGAGACTATCTTTTGTTTGGTTAGAAGATTATAAAAGATAAACATCATAGAAGATAGTATAAAAGATAAACATCATAAGTATATTTATTTGATTACGCATTATGCACGATGAAGGATAATGTATTATAATTAGGGTTTGTCCATTTATTATGGCAACAAACCTCTCTAGACTCTAGCCTTTATCCTCGCTTTTGTATTTTTTATTTACTGATTTGTTATGTATTGTTTTCATAAACAAATGCTTGATAATCTCTCTTTATTTGAGTCTTTTTTATTTTATTTTGAAAATCAGGTTATTTTTGTCTCTTTATTGTAGAGCAACCAAATTCTTTAAATTCGACAGCGACAAAAATGAAATGGTGGATCCAATGTTGAGAAATACATGTTTATGAAGAAAAAAAAAATGAAATGAATGGTTTACATGATTGTCATCAGAAATAATTATCTAAATTCAAATAATCACTAAATAGAAGATACACTTCTTTAGTTTTTTTTTTTTTTTTTTTGACATCACACTTCTTTAGTATATGAACATAACTTCAATAATATATATACTAAATCATATTATATGATACTAAATCACCAAAGTACAATGTAAAAAAGGGTAAACAAAGATCCACTTCCAAAGAGGTGTAAACCGTTTATTACAAGACTTTTTTCAACATTAATGGTCAAACTCAAAACCTGCTTAAACTCACTTAAGCACCCATGATCATCTAACCCTCCACCTTTTTCCAGACTCTTGTCATCTCCACCTTTACTATCTCCATACATTTTCTTCTTAGCTACATTCAATTCTTTAAACCTCTTGTTCCAACGTAGCTTCATCCTCTGGAGTGAAGAAGGCTACTTCCATTTGACCTAGCTCAGCATATCTCTGCTCCATTTTAGTTTTCCAAAAACAGACACATCTTCGTGTCCATCTTCTGGTACGGTGTTTTGAGCAGGTACTCGTCTAATCCTCCTGCTTTGTCGATGCAGCAGAGAGCGTGCGTTGTGACTTTGACTTTAATGTGACGGTCAAATATATAACTGAACAATCACTTCTCTTGCACGTTAGGTTTACCACATCTTCTTGACCTTAGGGCTTAGAGTTACCAAAACCATTCAGAATCATAGAGAGTAAGGAGAATATAGGGAAGAAGCAGCTTAGATCACGTTTTGAGCCGGCAGTGAAGACGAGACGACGTGAAGGCAGCCGGCGTCGGTGAAGTGATCTTTAGCTTCTCCGGGTTCTGTTTCCGAGTTTTATTGGGCTTTTTGTTTTGTTTCGTTAAGGCCCAACTCAATTTAGCCTCTTATAATTCATAGTCCGGTTTGTTTTATAAATTTCTAAATCCAAAATTAACCCAATATTGACTTTTTTTTTCTGGTTCAAACGCAGCGGTTACGGTTGCGAAAGTTTACGGATACGGGTGGTTACGATTCTTGTGATTTTAAGAGATTTATACGACTGATACTACAATTATAAATTGATGCGTTTGCGAGATATTTATGACTGGTTAACTACCAAATGCAGTAGCGTTTAAAATATAAATTAAGAATATTTATATTTTGTATAATTATAAAAAATACCAAAATCATACTATTATAATAACTAAGAAATTATACTTATAAAGTTATAGTTTTAAATTTTTTTAAATTATTGAAAATATTTTTTATTTTTTAATAATATTAATTAAAATATAATAGATATATTTTAGTATTTTATAATTCCAATTTAAAAAATTTATTGAATTTATTTATTTTGTATTTATATTTTTCCAAATAAAAAAAAAGAAAAAAATTTATCCTTCACATCTGCCCGCAATCGCAAACGCTAGTAAAAACCAACTTTTAGATTTAAGAGATTTCGAGCAGTTTAAAACGGTTCAAAGTGGTTTGAGTGATTGTTGCAAAACGCCAACAACCGATACCAGCCGCAAAAACAACGTTTGCGGGTGATAGCGGGAAAACCAGTCAGGCCCTAAAACCTTTTGTTTTATATTCACTTGTTATCTTTTTACTTGATCAAGTAACTTTCTTAAGTACTATGGCTAGGGTAAAAACTTGTTATTGTCTCTCTAATTTATTGTATGCTGGTTTTAAGTGAGGCTTAAGGTAAACACTTAAACAAAAAAAAAATTAATTTAAGAAGTTCTAAGCTGAAATTCATAATTTGTTGGGTGAGGAACAATAGCTAATTGCTATCTTTTCTTTACAGCTGAGATTCGAACCTAACACCATCTACTTTTAAGAAATACTAAGGTTTTGTTAGTAGATTTACCAGCTCTGAGTACTATTAATGCTTTTTTTGGAGCAACAATTTAAAATATGTTTTTGAGAATTTATGTGGATACAAGTGTTGATAAATTTAAAATACGTTTTTGAGAAATGTGGGAAAAGTAAATACGAGATATACACACAACATTCAAAACGGTGGTTGTCCAACAATATTACCAGGAGGATCATAATTACAAATGATAAAAGTGTCACCACTCTTGCAAAAACCCATTGCACAACCAATCCTCAAACTCCTCTTCCACACAAGTTGCGTGTAATGCAAACAATCCCCATTCGCCTTACATCGGTAAGTCTTCCTGTCATAGAATTTCCTCTCCGAAGCCCACGCAACCACCGCGTCCTTTGGGGTCCACCCTTTACCACTTCCCCAAAAGAGATTCTCCCCGTAAGGTCCACCAGAGTGGATAAGGTTGCAATCTCCACGGCGGGTTCTTGCCCACCGGGTGGCGTAGCGGGCGAGGCTGTTGCTCCATTTGAGAGGAGGGAGACGAAGCTTGGCTCTTAAGGTGTTGTGTGGTCGGAGAAACTGCTGTTGGATGGTGTTTCGGGTTAGGGTTTTGTATTGTGAAGAAGTTACTGTTGGTGTTGGGATTTGGGAAGAGAGAGATGGAAGTGGAGTGGTGATGGCAATGGTGCTGATGATGATGAATATCAAATTTTTAAGTTCCATTGGGAAGATGAGTTAGATTTGATTGTAACACTCTAGATCTATAGTACTTCATTTATATATACAAGTAACATTGTTTATATTTTCATGTTTGTATGTACATGTCACCGAAAGAATCTAAGCACATGCTATGTTAATAATGTTTCAAATGATAAATGCTAATCATTTCGGTGGAACATCGATTATTTGTAGGAATGATTCTTTTCAAGAAAATCATAGAGTATAAAGCACTAAACTATTCTTTATCTATGATGGAAAGTTTTATAGAATGTTTTTTAAATTGTTGCAAAGAGCTAAACCAAAAACTATTATATATCTAGTGTATAGCCTAATATGCTTTGTGAATATGTCTCCAAAATGCTTGTTCCTTTAAGTAAGCTTGAATTTATGAAGCGAGTAGTTTAATTACATCATGTTTACGACGCATGTTTGTGAGGCGGATGCCGGTGTTATAGAGAACGTGACGAAAATTAAGGAAGCCTGAATTTGTTTTTAATATAATTTAGTCACAATGAACAATTATATTATGAGCTTGTAAATTGTAATCATTGGTTGCAATTGTTTTTACTTTTTTTTTTTTTTTGTAATCATTAGGCGAAGGATATGAAATGAGTTGACGAGTCGAGCATCTCAATGTAAAGTTCTATTTTTTACACCTGTAAGGCTATAACTATGTAGTGAACTTGAGTTTAATTTTAATTCTTTTACATTTTGGAATGGAAAAATGGAATAAATGAAACAGAAATAAATTTAATTCATTATTTTTAGTAATCCAGAATTTACTCTCTATTATGCAGTTCAAAATGGAATATGACTAAAATAAATTTCAAAATAAAATTGGAGTACACTTTGAGATGCTCTAACCAGGGAAAGTTGAACCGGATGTCCTAGACTTGTAAACTGGTAATTCAAATCCTTATTAGTTATTTGCGTTTATGAAAATCAACCCAATTCAGATTATATGAAAGTTCGGTTTGAGATCGGTTTGGAACAGAGTTAGTAAATTTTCAAAAAAACCGACATAATCTATTGTATTTCGGTTCCGGATCCCAATCAATTCTTTGGTTTAAAACTACATGAGCTGAATTTACTTTGTAACCAAAACATAAGTAAAATTGATTCTTCGAATTTAAAGTACATAATTTATACCTATTTTTATAATCAAAACATAAGTAAAATTGATTCAAAAAATAAGAAAAGAACATCAAACGTGATCATTCACAATCAAATGAAAGGTAAACATAGTTACTTATAAAAAGAAAACCAAATAAATGAAGACAGAAAACCAAATTCTCGTGAAATGAGAAACATTACTCTGTGAGAGTAAAAACAAAATTTTAAAAACTTCAAGCTTCAACCACCACCTACAACCTTCATGTAAAAAATAATTATTTTAGTTGTCAAAAAAAAATATATTAGGAATTAAAATTATGTTTGGTGCAAGTTTCATTTTGAGATTTTAAATATTTCGGGTTCTATCGGATCCATTTAGGTTTGAGTTTGGTTCGGATAATACCCATAACCCGAAATACTATAAAACAAGATCCATTCAGTATTTATGTCGGATTCGGATCGGTTTGAATTCATTTTTATCGGGTCAGATTCGGTTCATGTTCATTTTTATCAGGTCGGACTCGGTTCAGGTTCATTTATATCAGGTCGGGTTCGGGCTTTCAGGTTTGGTTTATTTGCCCAGATTAGGCTCACTTTATATTGGGCTTATTTCGAAAACAAATAGAAACGTATTCACTGGGCTTTTTATCAATAAAATTTGGGCCTTTAAGGGTTGACTCATTCTCTCTCCGTTCTTCGTGCAAACAAACGATTAAAAAAAAGGATCAGATTTGGAGTAAACACAAAGACCATACCTATCTCACTATCTGCAGCGAGTGTTTGTTTCCCTGAGATCCAAATCTCTCGTGGATCCAAAGCTCTTGATCTCCTCCTCTATTTGAGGTTCGTTTCTCTGTTACACCTAATCCATTTTTTTTTTTTTTTTGTAGAGATCGATCTCCTATTGTGTAAATCTACACTGTTTCGATTTGTTTGATCTCGATCCGATCCCGTTATAATTTTTAGGCTGCTGTATGAGACTGCGAACTATGTAGATCCGATGACTGTTATTCAAATCTGAGGAGTTAGATCATAGAGAGTGAGAGAGATGAACATTTGTTTTGAATTTTATTTTTATGTTAATGTTTTGATCGTAGCTGTATCGAAATGATGTTTGTTTGCTGGATCTGATGATTTGGAATCTGGTCATTGTTTCCACATTGCCAAAATTTTCTTCTGTAGTTATGGATTGGAGAAACATAGATGCTGTGATCTGACGAGCTTTTTTTTTGAAAAAAAATGAATTAGAGATTCTTTGTTCATTGTATATAGATTATTGCTGAGTAGTTAAGTAGATACTATAAAAGTTCTTGTTTAGAATTTAATTGAGCAGTGAGGAGGAAACTAATTAGGTTCTTGTGCTCTGTATCTTGAAACTTGAAACCGCAAGAAAATATTAACATTTTGCGTATCTTGTTTATTACTATGTGATATGCATGTACCTCATTATACGTTTTACTAATTATAAGTAGGCATGTGCGTTCGGGTACCCATTCCGATTCGGATATAGTATTTCGGATTTTCGGTATATAGTTTTAGAATCCGTTCGGATATTTTTAATATTGAGTTGGGTTCAGATATTTTTAGTTCGGGTTTAGTTATTTTTAAGGATGTAAAATTCTGTTGTGGAGTACCTCTTCTTTCATTTGAGCTCATAAGTTTTATTGATTTCAGTTTCTTTCTCTTTTCTTGAACAGTACAGGAAAAGATGGACAAATCTTGTACTTTGCTTGTACACTATGACAAAGGGACGCCAGCAGTTGCCAAGGAGATTAAAGAAGCTCTCGAGGGAAACGACGTTGAAGCAAAAGTTGATGCCATGAAGAAGGCAGTTATGCTTCTGTTGAATGGCGAAACCATCCCGCAGCTTTTCATAACTATTATAAGATATGTGTTGCCTTCTGAAGACCACACGATTCAAAAGCTTCTGCTGCTCTACTTGGAGCTGATCGAGAAAACGGATTCTAAGGGGAAGGTGTTACCTGAAATGATTTTGATATGCCAGAATCTTCGGAACAATCTTATGCATCCTAATGAGTACATTCGTGGAGTGACGCTGAGGTTTCTCTGCCGGTTGAAGGAGACTGAGATAGTAGAGCCTTTGACTCCATCAGTGTTGCAAAATCTTGAGCATCGCCATCCTTTTGTTCGTAGGAATGCAATTCTGGCGATTATGTCGATATATAAGCTCCCAAATGGTGATCAGCTCTTCGTGGACGCACCTGAAATGATCGAGAAGGCTCTGTCATCAGAACAAGATCCGTCTGCCAAGAGAAATGCATTTCTAATGCTCTTCACCTGTGCTGAAGAACGAGCAGTGAATTATCTTCTGAGCAATGTTGACAAGGTTTCAGACTGGAATGAATCGCTTCAGATGGTGGTGCTGGAGTTGATTCGAAGTGTGTGTAAAACTAAACCAGCAGAGAAGGGGAAATATATTAAAATTATTATTTCTCTTTTAAGTGCCACTTCCTCCGCAGTTATCTATGAATGTGCTGGGACGCTTGTTTCTCTTTCATCAGCCCCTACTGCTATTAGAGCTGCTGCCAACACCTACTGTCAACTTCTTCTTTCTCAGAGTGACAACAACGTGAAGCTTATTCTGCTCGATCGGTTGAGTGAGCTTAAGACATTGCACAGAGATATCATGGTTGAGTTGATAATTGATGTGCTCAGAGCACTCTCAAGCCCGAACCTTGATATTCGCAGGAAGACACTTGATATTGCCCTTGATTTGATTACTCATCACAATATCAATGAGGTTGTTCAGATGTTAAAGAAAGAAGTTGTGAAGACACAGAGTGGAGAGCTTGAGAAGAATGGAGAGTACAGACAAATGCTTATCCAAGCAATCCATGCTTGTGCGGTTAAGTTCCCCGAAGTTGCAAGCACAGTGGTCCATCTCCTTATGGATTTCCTTGGAGATAGCAATGTCGCTTCAGCACTTGACGTGGTTGCTTTTGTTAGAGAGATAATAGAAACAAATCCCAAGTTGAGAGTTTCAATCATAACCAGGTTGCTGGACACATTCTATCAGATCCGGGCTGGAAAGGTCTGCCCTTGTGCACTTTGGATTATTGGGGAGTATTGCCTATCACTTTCGGAAGTTGAGAGTGGCATTTCAACCATTAAACAATGCCTTGGTGAGTTACCATTTTATTCTGTTTCTGAGGAATCTGAGCCAACTGAGACATCAAATAAGATTCAGCCAACCTCTTCCGCCATGGTGTCCTCTAGAAAACCTGTGATTCTTGCTGATGGTACTTATGCCACCCAAAGCGCGGCCTCTGAAACCACATTCTCAACACCAGCAGTTGTTCAAGGATCAGTGACTTCTGGAAACCTGAGAACACTGCTTCTAACTGGTGATTTTTTCCTAGGGGCAGTGGTTGCTTGCACACTGACTAAACTTGTTCTTAGACTCGAAGAGGTTCAGCCGTCTAAAACTGAAGTGAACAAGACAGCCACACAGGCTTTGCTGATCATGGTTTCTATCCTGCAACTTGGTCAATCTCCTGCTTCTCCACACCCTATTGATAATGATTCGTACGAAAGGATTGTCCTGTGCATAAAACTGCTCTGCCATAGGAATGATGAGATGAAAAGGATTTGGCTGGAATCCTGCCGCCAGAGTTTTGTCAAGATGATTTCTGAAAAACAGCTAACAGAGATGGCTGAGCTTAAGGCAAAGACCCAAACAACTAATGCTCAACCTGATGATCTCATTGACTTCTTCCATCTAAAGAGCCGAAAGGTAATAGTATTACTAATTTCTAAATCATCGCATCCTTCAGTGTTTTTTTAGTTCTGCCTGTATATCAAATTACTAATGATATGATTCTTTCAGGGAATGAGTCAACTTGAGTTGGAAGATCAGGTACAAGATGACCTAAAGCGTGCAACTGGAGAATTCACCAAGGACGAGAACGACGCCAACAAACTCAACCGCATTCTTCAACTCACAGGATTCAGTGATCCAGTCTACGCTGAAGCATACGTGACAGTCCATCACTATGACATCGCACTCGAAGTCACCGTTATCAACCGTACAAAGGAAACCCTTCAGAACATGTGCTTGGAGCTAGCAACCATGGGTGATCTCAAGCTTGTTGAGCGTCCTCAAAACTATAGTCTTGCGCCAGAAACGAGCATGCAGATAAAAGCAAACATCAAGGTCTCGTCCACAGAGACAGGAGTCATATTCGGGAACATCGTCTACGAGACATCAAATGTAATGGAGCGAAACGTCGTCGTTCTCAACGACATACATATTGATATCATGGACTATATCTCCCCTGCTGTTTGCACAGAGGCTGCTTTCAGAACCATGTGGGCAGAGTTTGAATGGGAGAACAAGGTAATTCATTACACTTTTACCTTTCTTTCGTTTGTTGAGTTTGGTATTAACCATTAGCGTTGTGGTCTTTATGTCAGGTTGCTGTGAACACCACGATTCAGAACGAAAGAGAGTTCCTCGACCACATTATTAAATCCACAAACATGAAGTGTCTCACTGCCCCGTAAGTTCAGATTCTTATTTTTTTTTCCCTTGTGGACTGAAACTCGTCTTACTAATTGATGCGTCTCTCTCTATTTGCAGATCTGCGATAGAAGGAGAATGTGGGTTCCTTGCAGCAAACTTATACGCAAAGAGTGTATTTGGTGAGGATGCTCTTGTGAACGTGAGCATCGAGAAGCAAACTGATGGAACACTGAGTGGATACATAAGGATTAGGAGCAAGACGCAAGGGATTGCTCTAAGTCTTGGAGACAAAATCACCCTCAAACAAAAGGGTAGTAGCTGAGGTTAGCTATTACATCTTCTCTTATCTTCTTCTTATTGAATGTGAAATTCACACTCCTTAACTGGGGTACCATACCAATTTGATTATTACAGGCTTGGAATGGTGGCGCATAAGGTAACTGTCGTTTCTCTCATGAGCAATTTTTTTTTTGTTGGTCGAGTCTGTTTACTATATCGAGGGAGGGAGGTGTTTTGAGTATATGTAAAGACCAAACTGTTATCATTCCTTAACCGGTTTATAGTTTCCGGTATGGTACCAATGGATTCTTCCTTATACAGCTGTGTTTTTTTTTCTTTCTTTTCTTTAAATTAGTACTTGAAGATTTTGTTTTATCTGTAATGTTATTTTTCTTTCTATAATTTCGTTTGTTGGCGAGATTAAAACTATGTTGATTTTCATAGTTTTTGTTAAAATTTATAAATCTAGTAAGTAAAAGAAATGATTTTAGAATTGTCGATAGGAATATTAAAATATAAAAGAAAATATACAATCTTGATTACCTTATTTGTGAAAAAAATATTATTTGGAAGAATAATAGAACATTGGATTCGGACACCAAACAAGACAACTCTGGCTGAAGGACCATCCAGACTCCAGAGCCATTGTAACCCAATTCAAACCGGCTCTAAACATTTCCACCAGATTCGTATCAATTGCTTAAAGAAAAAGCTCTGAGAGAGTTCCACCTTTGAGCAGAACCTAATAGAACTATGTCCTGCCCACATATCAGTATACAAATCAGATCAGAAAGTAGCAAAAATATGAAAACTTTGAATCCAATTTCACTCTATAACTAAAGATACACACAGAGAATTTGCCATTGATTTCTCAAAGAATCCAAATTACCAAACAATATGACTAAGCAATATGACTGATTTCTCAAATTAGCTCGAAGTTTAGCCTACAAATTCTTCATTCAGCTCTCTTAGAGTTCAAAGACTCACTCTAAGCTAAAGACGAGTGCGTAAGCTCCATTCCGACGTTATGCAACAGACTCTCCGAGACTATTTCAGTATAAGAAATTATTACCAGATAAATGAATGAATTTGCTTCTTTTTCTTCTTCTTTTTTTTTTGTGTGTTATTTATGCGGAAATTTGAATTTGAAATTGGTATATTTTCAAATAAGAAACCGGTTATGATCGCCGGTTTAAGGGTTCTTTAATTAAAAGATCGGTTTTGGATCGATTCAATACATTCCAAATCTTTATCTGACTACAATCCAAACAATTTCGATCATTTCATAATCGTTTTTCCAAAACCGTTCTAATGCAACCCAAAAATAGACTAAACTAGTCCGCACAGATTTCCAAAATTTAAATCGGTTCAACACATTCCAAATTAGACCGGTTCAACACATTCAAACATTTTATCCGACAAAGTTTCCTTCATTTCATTCCCGGTTTTCCAAAACCGTTCTAATATATAACAAAATAACTCCTACTAATACCATTAATTCCAACATCTTTAGAACAAACATGTTTCATGACCCGTTTCCCAAAACCATTCCAATGGCTACATCAACAATCATAGCCTCATGGTTTTTGGTTTCAAACATCTAAGAATTAACAAAAACAAGAGCATTAGTTATGGTTTTAAAACTCTGTAAAAATACAGTATCATGTCTGGAAACTTACTTTGGGATCAGGAACGGATTATCACAAATATTGAACAATTATTCATAGAAAGTTGAACCGTGGTTGTCAAAATCGAAAAAGAAGCACATTCAAGCAACTAAATGAATCAATTTCATGAAATATAAACCAGAAAGAGACAGTAAATGACAATGATATATATCATGAATTTTTTTGGAAAACATAAGAAAATTTTGTGCTTTCATGATGTTTTTCTAACCAAAGTTCGTGAATAATCCAAATTTTGGAAAATATAAGCAAATTTTGTGTAACCCATAATTGAAAAGAGATAAGTGCAAATGAAAGTTAAATAAGTATTTCAAGTCATTATCATCATATATGACTCAAAGAATGGAGAAGATTATTTTCATCAATTAATGTTGATAACTAATAAATCAAAATGAAGATTAATGATTGATAAATACTATTTTTATAAGTTTTCTTGAATTAGAATGAATAATTGTTTATTTAAAATGTTGAGTTATGTCTCTTGTAAAATTGCTAACTAAAAAATAATCTAAAAATGATGATTTAAAAGCAAATCATCAGTTTCTTATTTATCTTTTCGTTTTTTATTTGTCAACAAAAATCACTTATTTAACTAATAGTATTTTAAATAACTCAATTTAATTGTTTTGATAATTCAATGTTGTTTATTTCTAGCCAACAATGTTTTTAACATTTACAAGTAAATCAGTGTTTCATTTGTCTTTATCTGAATTTACTTTCAATAACATATACTACCACTTATACAGTAGAAAAGTTGTCAATCTTATTTTGACAAATGGATAACTTTTATTTTGATTACAAACTTACCATATAAATTTACAGTTTTTTCACTTAATTTTTCAACAAATTACATCAAATTATAATTTATCTTACCCTTTGATTATAACTCATACATCAAGTTACTAATCGTCTAAGCATTTATATTCAATATAAGATGTTTTCATATTTTAGATAAATTTTAAATGTAATAAAATTACCCACATGGAAAAATCTCATCATCAAGAAAACATGAGTAATATTTAGATTTAGACCACATGGAATGAAATTGGATTGAAAATCTTAGAATGTTAAATGAATGAAGAGAAATGTAAGTATATTAGATTTTATTTTGTAACATAAACCAGACCATGTCTTTAATCACACGAGGGTGTATATAAGCTTTGACAAGATTGCCAATGAAGACAGAACCAAACATCTTTCAACTCCGCAACACAAAAGGCAGTCTCCTTCCATGCTCGTTCTAAGAGTTACCCATCAAGACAACATCCTCAAACCGCTCATGTCGATGAGCAGTTGACCAGGCTGAGATATTTTGAATAAATTAAAAGAAAATATACAATCTTCATTACCTTTTTTCAGCAGTATGTTATCCAAAGTATAAAGTGTATGTATTTAGTAACATCTTCAATACTTATCCGCTTCATTCATTTTGTTTAGAGATGCAGCCAAAAAAAACAAAAGGAGGACCACTTTTTGCTGGCCAAAAAGGGAAGAAAGAGGCAGGAGCAGCAGGACCAGTGGTAGTTAGAACGAGAATGATTCTAAAATCAATTTTATATGTTTTAAAAGTATGTATGCTTTTTTACAAAAAAAAAAGTATGTATGCTTCGTTTAATTTTAGCTAGCTTTAACTGAAAGTATACTCAACAATTGGTGCCAGAAATGATGAAAGAATATGCTGAGAATCCTGTATTTTTTGTTAAATAGAATAACAGTTTTAAGTGGTTGGAACAACATGACTCATGCAATGCAACGTGTTTCATCAAATTATAAAGAGGAAACCTTATCCTTTAGACCTTAGTTTACATTTCACCTAACCTGATCTTGACCTAACCAAATTTTGTTAAAACAATATTTTTGAGGGGGTCAAATGATGGAAGGATATTCACCAAAGATTACGAACAAGAAGTATGATAATATTTTTTAACTAGTGGAGATCAAATCAAATATACAAATAATAATCAAACTCATTATCGATTAAAATTCAACAAAAGTATGATCATCTAAAACGACTAAACCATTAGTTATATTCCTTACTCAAACTATCAAATCACTTATTGCGAACAAATTTTCCTCTACTCTAAAAAATAAAATAAAAAACAGAACACAAGTGGAATTGGTGGAGGGGAGAAACTGGATTTTATCGATCATAAGCTGGAAAACTAGATAAGCAAAAACAGCTCTGAGTTTGAACCATAAAATCTCTATTATTAGTCATCTTCATCCTCTTCTCTTGCATCTCATTAATTTCCTCATCACTACTATCATCATCATCATCATTGTTAGTGTATTTGTGATCATCTTCATCAGATTCTTGCAATCCAAGTAAAGGCATAGAATTAAGGTTAGTCTTGGGGTAGAAGGTGAAAGATGAAGACAAAGTTCTTCTCCTTAGCTTGTTAGCAATAAGCAATCTCCTTCTCTTGTTCAATGGACTTTCCACTTTCTCTAGTTCCTTGGCGTTGCTGCTAGCTTCCAATAGATTCCCAAATGATTTCGACTTCCCCATGTAATAATTTGATAATCCTCTCCTTTAGAGAAAAAAAAAATCTAAACCATCAGACAAATCCAACACTACATCAAACATGGAATAACAACATTCATAATGTTTAAATTGCATGATTAAGCTAACTATTGACTTTATTCAGATTTGAATCGAATATATTCAGGCGAAGATCAAAGAATCATTTAATCATCTCTTTTTTGAAAAAAAATTAAAACAAAATTTCGGAAAATTTAAAAGGATGAATTAAAGAAACGTTACTTAATCGGAAGAGAATCTTCAAGAGAGGAACTGAACGAATCAAGCCATCTTCCTTGTGACGAAACGGTGCCGTCTTCTTCTTCCTCCTCGCTTTCGCTGCTTTCTCCCGTCACCACCTCGACCGATGATGAACTCTGCGTTTTCTCCTCTGGAGGAGACTTAACACATCTCTTTAACCTTCCACCACGGCTAGATTCCTCCGTCAAGAACAGAGCAGCCTTATCATGCACCTTCCTACATGCCAGGCACTCCATGGCAGACGCTGAGCACACGTTTTAAGAGAGCTGCACTAGGCGTAGGTTAGTTAGAACTAGAGAAAAAAAAAAAAAAGAGAGATTCCACCGATCGGAGAAAGATGAGAAGAACAAAGGATAAAAAACAAGTATATATCAAGTTTCTGTTATATTATTAAAAAAATAGAAGATACGAATACGTATATATATACGTTGTTAGTGACAGTATTTGAGACTCTGTGTATACGCGCACATGCTCTAAAAATAGTTACGCCCAGGGAAGGATTTTGACGTGGGGACACGTTAATGATGACGTGGTGGAGAACTATTGGATAGCTCTCGGACCATAGCCCGGATGTTATGGAGTTACTGTCTCCGTTAAATCCGATGCTGTTGAGTTCGGTGGTGGACTGGTGGTTATAACACCAACAGCTACTACAACCTTATCCATTTCTCATTACTGTTTTTTTTTAGTTTTGTAAGGATTTTTTTGTTAGTGAAAGAGATAAGCTTTTAACAAATTGGATTAAATATTGTTTTACTGATTAAATCTAGGAAGAATTTGCTGAATATACAAAACACAAATAGAAATTAAAGATATAGCTATGATTATGATATATTTCAGTCGCTATTATTTAACACAGAAAAGGTTCGGTTTTGTCCTTTTAAAGAGAAAGTTCCCGGTTACTAATATATAGGTGAGATGACGTTGGTGGTTTATGGTACCGCAACACCATATTATAATTCCTCTTCAAAAATTCTGGTCACTTTTTTTTATACTTGGACAGAATAGTATTCAGGTTTTATAAATTATAGTATGGAGTTTCACATAATATTATGATGTATTTTAATTGTACAAAAAAGGTTTCTGGGTGATTCCAAAATAGAATAGTATGGGAAATGATAGTATATACGTATAGCTGCATTGTTTTTAGTAGAAGATATTTGTACAGCTGCATAGTATTTAACATACGCCACGTCACAGTACTAACAACCGCATACGGTTCACGAAATTCAGTAAAACATGTGGAAGAGAAAATAATGAGCAAAGATGACGGAGGACGTATGGCCACCCATCCGAAGGACTGTAGAAAATTGTGTTCCTTGCAACATCTCTAAATCATCCTCATCTAACACAAGCTTGATCAGCTCTATACACTGAAGGTTGAAGTAACTATTAACCATTTTCCTTCCAACTGGCTCAAACTCAGTCTGAAACAATCTGGTGGACAGTTCCTGAACTTCCATTACGATCCTGATAAGCCAAAAAACTAAAGACAGTCAGTTCCAATTGAGTAGAACAAACCATGAACATGTATAAACAGAAATAGAATCCGAGTTTGATATAGAATAGAATCCAAGTCGACATAGAACGAAATCCAATTTCGACATAGAATAAAATAGGACTGCAACATAGAATAGCACAACGACATACATACAAGTAAATGTATAGAACAGAACAACTCCTTAGGCTCTACTCAAATAGAACATAACTCAAAATATTATATGTAGATGGAACAACAAATTTATGAAATAGAACAAAACTCACTAAATCATATGTATATAGAACAGATCAACTCCTTAGACTCAACTCAGATAGAACAAAACTCAAAATATTATATGTAGATGGAACAACAAATTTATGTAATAGAACAAAACTCACTAAATCATGCAAAAGAGGGGAACAATAATCAAAGCGAAGATTTGGAATATGAAACGTTTCACAACAATAATAAAATCAGAGCTTACGAAAGAGTAAGGATCTATGGAAGTTGATGAGAGTTCGAACTTGAAATCGCTGGCGTAGGAATCTGATCCAATTGTGAATAGGGTTTGAGAACCACGTGATAGAGACAAAGTAAGAAGGACGAGTGTTTCTCCCCTCCGGGATCTTCGATTCGATTGTAGAGAGAGTCGATTGCAGAGAGAAGTGAGAGAGGACTCTGATTCTGTCTCCCTGTTCATATTCCGATAGAGTGACGGAGAAAAGTTAGGAAGAAGAGGCGGAAGTAAAAAGGGCGACGTGTTACATTTACAATCGTGATAATTATTTATTTATTTTTTATTTTATTTAACAAGTTGGGCCGGTTGCTTTAGATGATAGAAGGGGTATTATATTGAAAATACACATGGTATATAAATGAAGTAGAGCTTTTGGTCATTGGGTCAATTATAAAATGTTTGGAGGTTATTGAGTGCAATTTCCTTAAATCTACACGATTTTTGACAAAAAAAAAATCTACAGAGGTTTAACATAATTAGCTTTTAAAATGAAAATTTTGATATTCTCTATTTCAAGTTGATCCATTTAAAAATATATATTTCAGAAAAATATATTTTTTTTTTCATATTTCGAATATGTAATAATTATAAACGGTAAAGTTCAAAAATTAATTTTATTCATTGAATTTTGACTGGATGAAAATTAAAGAAAATAGTTAATTAAAATATTTTTAATTAAATTAATTTTAAGAAAAAAAAATATATTTTTCTTAAACAAGGAGTATTGTACATCGAATCATTTTTGAATTTAAAAAAAAAGATATATCTTTAATGGATGATTAAGAACTCTCATCCATCACACTTGCCCTGACGTCATCAGACCATTCATGGCTACCATTCTCAGCTCTGCTCCTCTCTCTGTTCCATCTACAACATACTCAAAACCCTCTCCAAGAATCCCTCTTTTTACATCTCTGCCACTCCCATCATCTTTATCATCATCATCATCTTCTTCTTATGGCGTTACTTCTTCATTCGTGGTTAGAAATGATGCATCATTGTCTCCATCATCCTCCCCAGTTCAAGCTCTAGCAGAAGAAGCGGTTGATTCTTCCCCTTTAGCCTCTTCTTCAAAGCTTGTTTTTGTAGTTGGCGGCACTGGTGGTGTCGGTACGAACCAAACATAATCATCTACTTCAAATGTTCTGTTTTTTTTTTATTTTAAATTTGGATAATAAGGAATTTCTTAGAGTTTTCATTTTTATTATTACAATTGGTTTCTTTATAATGTTTTTGGTATCAGGGCAACTAGTGGTAGCTTCATTGCTCAAGAGGAATATTAAGTCAAGGCTATTACTACGTGATCTTGAGAAAGCTACCAAGTTGTTTGGTAAACAAGATGAAAATTCATTACAGGTTTGGAATGTGATCTTCCAATAAATAATATTCAAGAAATCGCTAGACATTAGTTAAGGGTTTAATATGAGATTATTGGTTAGACGACTTTTGAGCTCCTAGACCACGCTGACTAGACCGACTTTTAGAACACTTATGTTCTACTTGATGAATATTTAGGAGTTTACTTACTTCCTTTTCTTCAGTCTCATAAGAAGTTGAAAGTTTCTAAGTTGAAAGTCTTTGTTACAGGTAGTCAAAGGGGATACTAGAAATGTAGAGGATCTTGATCCATCCATGTTTGAGGTTCTGTGATCTTCTTTCATTTTCTCATTAAGTTTGTATTTTCTTTGTTTTATGTTTAGATTGTTTACGGATTTTTGTAGGGTGTGACACATGTGATTTGTACCACTGGAACTACAGCTTTTCCTTCTCAGAGGTGGAGTGGAGACAACACACCTGATAAAGTAGGTGGGAACATTTCTCTCCATAATCTTTTATGATCTTGTATTGTAAATTAACAATGTGGAATTGAATGAAACAAGGGGTCTCTTTTGGGACTTTTTTTTTTGTGTTCAAAAGATTGGGAAGGTGTGAGGAATCTCATTTCAGCACTGCCCTCATCAGTGAAAAGAGTTGTTCTGGTTTCATCAGTAGGTGTCACCAAGCCTGATGAGCTTCCTTGGAGGTGAGACTTATAGTAGTGTGAACTTCCTTTATCTGATTGTCTCTACATGTTTATATGTGTCTCTTCATGTATGGTTCCTTTGCCAGCATTATGAACTTATTTGGGGTTCTTAAGTACAAGAAGAAGGGTGAAGATTTTCTTAGGGAGTCTGGTCTTCCATACACCATTATCAGGTTTGGTATAACAAAGTTACAACTTACAATATGCAGTCAACGTATGGTTTACTGATTTTACTGTATCATGGTAACAGACCAGGTAGATTAACTGATGGACCTTACACATCCTATGATCTGAACACTTTACTCAAAGCTACAGCTGGTGAACGGCGTGCTGTTGTCATTGGTCAAGGTAGATTTGAGATTCTTGGATGCTGAACTATAGAAATTTGAGGTATGCTTGCTTTACATTAAGGTTTCTTATAATAGGAGACAAGCTTGTTGGAGAGGTAAGTAGACTTGTGGTGGCTGAAGCTTGTATACAGGCACTTGATATTGAATTCACACAAGGAAAAGCTTATGAGATCAATTCAGTTAAGGTAATCATTAAAAGTCCAGTATGGAAAATATACTAGGACTGTTGTGATGTAGGGTGATCAAGAAACATGTCTGAAAGTGTGTCTGTCCTGAAGAACCAAAGCTTTAGTTGTGATCGTTGAACATGTTTCAAAGATTGGTTGTTTTTTTTATGTGTTGTGGTTTCAGGGAGATGGTCCAGGAAGTGATCCGCAGAAATGGCGAGAGTTGTTTAAAGTTGCAGAATCCAAAGAATCCAAATGATAGGAGATGATACTGAGAAATGTGTACAGATATGGTTAAATTGTGTATACACATATACTTACTTTTCTTTTGGTCTCATTGCTGAAATAACTTTCATCTATACATAAACACGATCAGTTCATATGGGATACATGAAGTCAAGAGGCCCTTGATCGATGACTAAATAGATATACCTGATTGACAGTATTTATATAAGTATATAAAGAGTACATATGCTTGCTTCTCCATTGAAGATAAGATTCCCAGGAGAAAGAAGAGCAGACACAATATGATCACATTTTCAGACAAGAATCCAACATGGCTTCAATCAGGCAACAGCTGAAGTAGTGCGTCTAAGGTCAATATGTTCTTGAGTTTCTGTGTTTCTTTGAAACTTCCATATCTCATGGGTTTAGTTATGCAAAGAGAGGTGAGATTCAGGAACAAATCCCTCTACCTAGCGACGGTGGTGTTCCTAGATTAGTCAGATTTGTGACTGACTACTGCAATAAACTTCTAGGAGATAAGTACAAGTCAACACTTACATTTCTTATGTATGAACAACCACTGGCATCTATACAAGAGCTTAAAGGGTACTAGAAATGGAGCTCAGTTGGGAGATTCATCACTGAAGGAACATGATCAGTACATGGCCGGTTTTGGACCAACCCAGATGAAACATTGACTTTAGGTCCCTATTTTTTTTTGTTCAAAAAAATAGTAAACTTTAGGTCCTTATATTTTTTGAAAAAAATCATAGATATAGGTTCCTAAAAAAATTTTAAATCTCCAATTTATTTTTAAAAAAATTAGTTAAAATCTTCAATAAATCATCTATGTTCTCCTAACTCTCAAAACCGGCCTTGCCACCACCTATCAACTTTTTCATTAGTTCCCTTATGAAGTTTTGCATCTCAATATAAGCAGCTCCACATAAGAGACGGTTGAAGTCTCCTTGGATCTCTCTTGCTATCACTCACAGTTTTACCAAACTGAAGCAACCAGACCATATCAGTAACATTTTACTTTAATGCATCAAATTAGTTAAAGAAAAAGGGGCTTACACAACCTCTTAAATCTCAGATGAGGACTTGTGTACCACATGATTTGGTGTGGTCGTCTTTTGTATACATTTTACTTGGTGTGTTGATGGGACAAAGTGGTAATGGTCTTTGAAACTTCCTTCCTAACTAGAAACTGAAACTTTGTCCCACTCACAATATATGAGTTTCCGTTACCCTTTTAACACACCGAGAACTTGTCCATACGATTTCTATACATCGTGCCAAAGTGTTTTGTCTTGTGGATAGATGTCGACATACAAATATTATAACGTATAAATGCGAATGTGACGCATGAAAATTTTAATCAGAAGGAAAAGTATGTCAAACGAAACTTCGTCTCTCAACGGCATATAAATTAATATAGTTGACCCATAACTTGTCTTCAACTCACATAAGATCATAAATTTTATCTAAATAAACTCAAATATTACGTGAGTTCAACACCCATATACACCTAACTCATTAATAACAACTCATTTGACTTTCTAATATCATTCATGCCTCTCGTCAACTTTACTTTTAAAAACAATCAAACACCCACCAACTCTATATTTGTATTAATAATGGCAAAACAAATGAATATAAAAAAAAGTATAATTAGTGCGCAATTAATTCCATAACCACTACCTTGTACCCATATCTGCTGATCATCTAATTTCATCATTCACCACGAGACGAAGATATTTTATAAAAGTATACATTCCACCATAAACTAATTTTTTCTAATTAAAATATGTTTGTAGCACAAAAACATTTACAAAATCAATCTCTCTATTACTCAAAAAAATCAAAAAAAACAAGGTCAAAGTCAAGCCGATTTAAACACAAAATCATTAACGCCTGAAGAAGAAGTGACATTCTCCTTCATCGCAGACTTGTTGTGACGGTGCTCCCCACCGTAAGTCACGATAAGCATATTAGGATCATCCAAAGCTCGTTCCACGTGTTTCCTCGCTGGACAATCTTTAAACGCACTGCACCTGTAGTAACCACTGCACCACACAAAAAAAAAACATTATAAACACACCGTTAGATCTTTTAATTGTAATTAAAACATCAACGGTGGATAAAGACAAGGGTGTGTATGATAGTTACCGTTTATGTGGTGATCCCTTGATCGGTTTTTGACCGTACTTCCTCCATGAATACTCGTCCGATGGAATATCCGCGACCTTTGAACTTATCGCCGGTACCCTGATGGTTCTTGTCACTTTACTTCTGCGTTGATAAATAAAAGAAAACATATATTAATTAACAAACTCGTATTAATTAAACAAGACCAAGTTGACAAAAAAAAAGTTAAACAAGACCAGAGAGTGGTTTAACTGTGTAGATAAATGAGCGTGCAACAAGGGATTAAAAGTCAACGGTCATACTAAAATAACGACCGATATTTTAAGCAACCAGAGTGATAACCGGGAAAAAAATGCTAAACCGGGAATTGAATTATTGTTTTTTCAATGGATAAATTTTTTAAATTATTGCTAATTAAGCATATCACGACGGTAATAGTCAACTAAGCATTTGAAATTCCTAAATTAAATAAAGTGGTTACTGGGGTAATTGTCAACCGGAGTGATAACCGGGAAAAACATACTAAACCGGGAATTGAATTATTCCCAATTAATCATATCACGACGGTTAATAGTCAACTAAACGCTGAAATTCTTAAATTAAAATAAAGTGGCTACTGGGGTAGTTGTTAACCGGAGTGATAACCGGGAAAAAATACTAAACCGGGAATTGAATTATTCCTAATTAATCACGATGGTTAATAGTCAACTAAGCTTTTGAAAATTCCAAAATTTAAATAAAGTGGTTACTAGGTTATTAGCTAAAGCGACATGCGGGTGACGTAACAATACCTTTTGCAGTGACATTTTTTGACGCCGGAGCCGGAGACCTTGCCGGAAAAACTCTGAGAGTGCTCGTGCTCGAGGCATCTTTTTCTAGCCAACGGTGGCTTACCAGAGGAGTTAGTTAGAAAGATCGAAGATCCTTTAGAGACGCTCCCGTCGCCGGTTATCGCCGACGACATGTAAGAAGAGTTTAAAGAGACGGTGAAGTTCTCCTTGGCGAAGTCCATCTCAGAGCTCTTGGAGCTTGACCCGAAGATTCCAGGTTTAGTGAAATCAAGATTCACGACCGTTGGTTTAGACGGTTGAGAGATAACCGGAGTTTCTGTTATAGAGATTTTTTGAGTGTTTTGTTGTTGAGGTGAGTTAACCGGTCCGCGTCTGAACCGGGCGTGACCGGTACGGTTATTAAGTAGAGAGATAACCGTTTTGAATTTGGAAACGGTGAAGTCGGTTATCTCGGAGCAGTCAACGTTGTTGTTGTTGTTGTTGTTATGTTCGGTGCGGTTAGTGGAGAGGACACGGATCAGATGTTCCATGCTCTGTATGCCTTGCGATGCAGCCTCTTGGATAGCGGTTTGATCGTCCATCTTAGGGAAATGCATTAGATCAACGGCCATGATTGTCTCACTGTAATCTTTTTTTTTTTTCTTTGCTCTGAAGATGTGTGAGAGAGAGATGGTGGGTGGAGAAGAGAGAGGAAGGATGGTGGTGTGATATATGGAGGAAGAGGAGGTGACCGGGTCAGGTTTTTTTTAGAGTTTTTTAGTCAAAGTGATCTAACGGCTGTGATTGAGTTGAGTTTTTCCACGGAATAAAGTAATCAAAGTTTGGTCTCTTCAAGTTTAAGGTTACTGGACCCCACTCAGCATCAGAATTTTATCTTTTCTTTAAATTATAGATGTTTTTTTCCTTAATAATACTCCATTTTCATATTTTTTTAATAAAATTAACACATTTATATAATTATTTATCAAATTGTTATCTGTAATAAATAAAAATTTAGCTTAATTAAAGGTATGGAGATAAGTTTCTGTAAATTATAATTTAATTATTGCAATGTCAATGATTCAATCATACACAATGGGAAATGATGGCCAGCTTGAATTTGGTGGAAGCAAGAAATGGAAGAGTTGTCAACTAGACATGTATGATTTGCTATAAAAATAATATTTGAGATATTTGACTTTTTAAATTTAAATTATAGTTTATGATTGTTTCCATTTGAATCTTCTTTACTTTTTCAAAAGTATAGTGACCAGTATTTGTCAACTATATTTACCATTAACATAATTCCATAGGTTGCACTGTTAATGAGTTTTCATTAAAATTTTGGTGCAAGACTTTTCCCATCTCAACAGCCATCTAGAATATTTTTTCTATAGTATTCTAGAAACCCTCTTCACTTGACAATTTGACATTTAAATAAGTGAAACCTTTATTAACTTCTATTATTAACCTAATTATCTACATATAGTGGGAAACAACGAATAACCATTCTAATGCTATACTAACAACAGTGGTTTGACTAAAACATGGTATTAAAATTCTATACAGGGATAGAATACGACAAATAAGGGGGAAAAGCTGACTATTTAAAATTAAAAGTAATAGAAATACAAAAGACAGAGCCATTGACTACCTCGGTAACCGGGTGATCCCGTTAGCTCATATCATATCTGAACCGTCAGAATTAATAATGTTTGATCCTTGGTCGATCTGTGAAACACTAGTGTTGACTATGTTTAGTTTTTATGAACCTAAAAAATCTTTTGCCAGCTATTTGGTTCCCTTCACGTGTCGACTTTGTAATGATGCATAGTATATTTACGAAATAGGAAAATCATAAAATTGAGAGAAGAAAATGTCAAAAGTAAATTAGGAAAATCATAAAATTGAGAGAAGAAAATAGAGAAACAAATGATCTGAAAATTAATTACACCAACTAATTCAGGAGTTATTACAAACTGCAATAACCAAAAGTTTGCAAAATAAAGATTTTGTTAGGTGTAACAATAGTGAAAGTGAGCACCAAACTAGTCAATCTATACAGTAGTCTAGACAAACATTATCAATAATAAATTGGATTGTTAAATTTTTCAATGAGAGGTAAAATAATAGCAACTTAATTCTCATTAGAAATCGTATTTAAAAATAATAAAAACATATTTTTACAGATTTTTTTGATAGATTTGTTAACGTATATAAGATACTGTCTTTTAGGTTTTAACTGAAAAAAAAAAACTAAAAAACGTCTCTTATATAAGAGATATCTATACTATTAAAAGAGAAGGAGTCTAAATAAATCTACTTAAAAAAGTTGTTTGGACCCATTAGACTAACATTTTTAGTCTTTCCTTATATTTCTCTAACTATATAAATACTTTACAATTTAAATAAACTCATTTATTACTTTCCATAATCTATTATAAAATTCTCTAACAATAAATATTCATGATATTATAACTATGACACTTTAGTTTAGTTAATTATATGCAATCAATTATTAAATTTTGATATTACATTCTTATAAAAGAACTAAATGATTAATTTTATGATATATAAAAATTAAATGGGTCTAGACATTATAAGTTGGAGATTCAAACGAAATTGGTCAAAAATTAATTTAAAGA